ACCGTCCACGGGGAGTGAAGGACTGTCGATATGTCAGGAGAGCGGGGGNGGGGGGGGGCGGGGGCGGAGGGAAGAGAGGGAGGGAGCGACGCACTCACCAAGTCGGCAATGGTGTATTTATCCCCGACGAGCCATTCTCGCTTGGCGAGCTCCCCGTCCAGGACGCCCAGCACGCGCTTGGCCTCGGCTGCGTACCGCTCGATGGCCGAGGGCACCCTATCAGTCGTCCTTATTAGTCTCCATATCACACCCAGCACAGTATATAGACGGCGGGAAGGGAGAGAAGTACTTTTCGTGATGATACCAGCTGAACCACCCCAGCTGGCCGAAGTAGGGGCCCTGGCCCGAGGCTTGGAAGAAGAGCCATTGGAGCTGTTTGTACTTCGTCCGCGCGTTAGGATCAATTATGGTGCACTGTATGCGAGAAGGGGAGAGAGGGGAGGCGGGTGGGCTGGAAAACACGCACCTTGTCCGCGTCGGTGCTCGCGCTGAGCGTGTGGTCAGGGTCGTACCGCTCGGCAAGGTAGAGCAAGATCGCGTTCGACTCCCACAGGACGAAGTCATTGTTCCTTGATCCACCATCTCATTCCGCATGAACGCAGGGTGAGCACAGGACGCACCCATGGTCCACGATAGTCGGTATCCGCCCATTCGGGTTCAGGTCCACATGCGGCGAAGTCTTCTGCTCGCCGCGCTCGAAGTCAAGGTAAATAGACTCGTAGGAGAGCCCGAGCTCGGAAAGGAGGAGGGCGGCTTTCCACCCATTCGGTCCGCCCTGGGATCCTTTTGCTCTCAGTACAAGGAGGGAGAGGTGGCGAGCGTACCTTGTGCGTGTAGAGGGTGAATTGCTTGCCGTGGGACATCGCGGGTTTGTGCTGAGATGGAGGAGCGGGAGGTGTTGGAAGGCAGTGTTATAGTTTCTCCCAGCGTGCTTCTCCTGGGTTCCCATCCGGTTATCGTTCACATCTGACACAGGGCAGTTAAGTGAGCACTGTTCTGTCCCAGAGCGGCCACGCATGTCGCTGGAGACAAAGCTGTTCTTTCCGCAGAGTGTTGGTAAACCTGAGCCGGGAGCATAGATATCCTAGGGAGGCTCACTGACCGCTGCGTGCTCGGCTTCAGTGCAGAGAGTCGGCGCATCGAGCTGGTAAGAAATAATGTTGATGTGTTCTGCTAAAAGCGTCTCCAGACGGCCGCGGCAGGATAGAACTGCGCTATACTTGGGCTGAAATCTGTTTATAGCGCGACAGTGGTGAGAGACGGTCCGGGAGACGCTGCGCGGGGTCCCTTTCTGCGGTCTATCAGCTCGGTGCTGTCCTCCGCCCACTGGGGGACTTCAGTAGAAGAGCGAAAAGACAACAGAAAAGGGCGTGTTGGGCAGTCGTGAGCGTCGTGAATAGCTAGGGCATCGCAAGGTCGCCTAGACCAGCCCTGTCGTACCAAGCGAGGCCCCGTCGGCGCTCCTCACTTGATGTCTCTACAACGTTGCACCCTTGCGCGGTCGTCCGTTACCCGCTCTGTATAAAGGCGGGGACCCCTTCCTCGTGTGTATGTGGAGGGGATCGGCTGTCAGGATATTCGCAGTGAAGAAGGGCGACGGGAGGGTCCCACGGACCGTGAGGAGAGGGATTTGTCGGTATCTATGGTTGGCTGAGGGAAGACGCGCCTGGGTTGGAAATGCGACCTCAGGACGTGTAGTGAAAAGTGATCGAATAGTGGAGGGCTGTTTGAGCAGCTTGCATCCTGGCCAATGGGTCCCATGATGCAAAAATCACCCAAACTCACTATGACGCTTCCAGAAGGCATCAAGAGATTAATCTTTCCAATATTTGGCCTGTTGAAATATTCCAAGCAAACGGAAGACGAGCGCGTTTGCCCCAGGCGGTCGGTTGCCCGAAGGGGCAATCGCGTACAGGACATCGAGTAGATAGGACGAATATATATGAATTTTCTTATCACCTTATCAGTCGGGCCCGCCTGCGGCGGTCCCCCCTGACCACGCGCAACACGGCGCGAGCTCGCAAGCTCGATCCCGACTCCCGAAATCCAACATGGCCTTTACAATGACAAGGTCAAGGTCAAGGTCAAGGTGGGCAACTCTGAGCAATTGCAAGACATGTGGTCGGCAACGTCTGCCAGACAAATGTCCGCGTAACCGTGATGGTTGGCACACTCGAACGAAGCGCCAGAGGCCGCCTTTAGTGTACCTGGGGTTGCATAGCCCATTCCCTCGGTATAAGTGATACCACTATTACGGAAGTGCTGATGTACTGTGAGAACAAGCATCAGTCAACCCCCTAGTAGTTAGTGCAGTATAGGAGATGTGAATGAGTGAGGATTCCTTGCCCGAGGCTTCAGACACTGGGTTAGTGTCACCTAATGAGTGTGTTCTATACTACTGAAAGGATATGTCCTCCAATTACTGGCTGCTATCCATGTTGATGCATTAATCCTGCCAGGAGTGACGCGTTCTACCCTCCAAGCGCGCCCAACTTAACGCGGTAATAAACACGTCTCGGCAAATCCCGAGCATGGCTCTTGGGGGCATCCAAACATTCTAACCGGAAGGCTGATTTGAAGCTATATAAGAGAATATATCAAGACTGTTCCTCTATTTTCCTGTGCCTCCTCATTTGAGAGTGCAGCTGCATCCAGGATTTGGCTGGTGTGGCTGAAGCGTGACACGCGAGACGGAGTTTGATTGGGAGGGGTTGCCGACGCCGACCCCGGAGGCGTTTAAGGTTAGGGTCTGCCCTAATTCGGGATGACATCACGACGTCATGTCCCCCACTCGTCCTACAAATGCTGCACTCGCTCTCGAATCCACCAGTTACTGCTGAATTTCTGTGTTATCTGCAACGATGCCCGTCCCGAAGCACATCTTTGACCAGATCAAGCGGCTGATCCCGCCGCTCGACGGCTCGCTGCACAAGGGCCAGAGCGGGCGCATCGGCGTCCTCGGCGGCGCCCAGGAGTATGTCGCCGTCTCTCACCGCCGACGCCCCGCTAACCCCCGCCAGCTACACCGGCGCGCCGTTCTTTGCCGCCATCTCCGCCTTCCGCGTCGGCTGCGACCTCTCCCACGTCATCTGCGCGCCCACCGCCGCCCCCGCCATCAAGTCCTACGCCCCCGACCTCATCGTGCACCCCATCCTCGCCCCGCCCTCCTCGCCCTCCTCCTCCCCCGACGCAGTCAAGTCCGAGCTCCAGTCCCTCCTCAGCCGTCTGCACGCCCTCATCATCGGCCCCGGCCTCGGCCGCGAACCGTACATGCTCGACTACGCCAAGCTCGCGCTCGCCATCGCGAAAGAGCGCGGCATGTTCCTCGTCCTCGACGCCGACGCGCTCTGGATGGTCGGCCAGGACCTCTCCCTCGTGCGCGGGTACCGCCGCGCGGTGCTCACCCCCAACGTCATGGAGTTCAAGCGCCTCTCGGAACAGGTACAGATCGACCCCTCGACGGATCCCACGCGTGTCGCGAGCCTCCTCTCGCAGAAGCTCGGCGGGCTCACGGTCCTCCAGAAGGGCGCCACTGACGTGATTGCGACGAACACGCTCGGCGCGGGCGAGGAGGACCGCGCAAAGAGCCAGGTGCCGCAGGGCGAGCGCGAGCAGGAGCTCGTCGTCACCGTCGACGTCCAGGGCGGGTACAAGCGCTGCGGCGGACAGGGCGACATCCTCAGCGGCAGCGTCGGCGCCTTCCTCGCCTGGGGCAAGTGTTTCGAGGAGCGCGCGTTCGGGTGAGCGATTCCCTCTCATTCGCGTTCTCGCTCAGTGCTGAAAAGAGTCTTAGCGACCAAACGATCCCCCCGACCTCGCTCCCCATTCTGGCAGCCACCGCCGGCTCGCTTGTCACGCGCACCGTCAGCAGGCGCGGCTTCGAGAAGATGGGCCGCGCGATGCTCACCGAGGACCTCGTCCCCGAGATCGGTTAGTTCTCCTTTACCTACATCCTCCCTCCCATCGACTGTATGCTGACCCTGTGGACATAGGCAAAGCATTCGAGGAGGTCTTCGGGCACGAGGCGGCGCATGGGCCGAAGCACCAGGGACAGGGCGGTGGGGTGTTGGGTGCGCTGGGCGGGGCGGCGAAGGGGGTGTTGTAGGGAGATGAAGGGACCGGAAAGGGAGAGAAGAAAGACAGAGATCTATTAGATTGTGTACAACATAGAGCAAGAAACGGGGCTGCTGCTCGATCGCTACTGGTCCGACGCCATTCGCACGGCTTGAGTAGGGCCGTACAGAGGAAGCCCCTGCTCGGAAAGCAGGTCGCGCGACACTATGTAGCGCAAGGATCATGCAACGTTCACCTACCGTTCCCACCTCTACAGGATGAATTCGAAGCAATGGGCGCGTCTGACAGGCACCCTCACATCACGACACACTCCGTAAGCTGTCGATACATGCGCACGCAGAATAAGTACTTCCTTTGCCAGACGACAGTGTGCGGTGGGGTTCGTCTTCGTCCTTGCGCCCAGGCGCGGGAACTTGGGAGGCTGATACTGGCAGGCCCGCTTCACAAGCTAGAGTCTAGAGGAACAGAGTGAGGACTTACCGGTAAATTACTGGTAAGTAAATTACCACCTGCATCGGAAGGGGTGTAAAAAAGGGTAGATAATGACCGCACAAATAAGGGTCCCTGCCCGGGTATGGTGGAATGCAAGAAGACCGTATCGAACCAGTATTTAGTGTGTTCGAGACGTCTTCCTGGTGCATCGAGGCGAAAACGATGTGTTTACTATTTCCGCTTTACGGACGGCAATTACCGAGAAAGGTAACTGACCGTACCTAACTTACATGGGTAAGAAACGACCTCCAGGAGGATCTGGGTAACTTACCGGCCAGGGACTTTCTCCCGGAACACTAGTGAGGACATAAGACGCGAACGAACGGCCGAACTCGAACTTTGCAGGTAAGAGTTCTCGGTTGCAAGTGCCGTGTGAGTCCGCCGGAGGCTATGTTTTCGAATTTCGATACTCTCAGTGCATCTCTGTTGCCTGTACGACGCGACGGATGCGACCATCGGTGGACGACCATGGCGGGGGATGCTGTGCCCGGTCCTGTACCAGGACGCCAGTGGCGGTACGACAGGATTGCCTTTGGGGATGACCTTGAGTTTTGACTCATCGCTTCGTGGTCTGCTGTAATTTCAGAGTCACGGTCGTCTTCGGGGTAACGTACGAGAAAAGCGGAAGTGGTATGCGTCCGAGGGTAAGTAAGCGTCGCACAGTTGTGGACACGGTGCGGGAGGTCGAGGTGTATTGGAGGTGCGTGTGGATTCGCTAGTGCGCGTCGTGCGACATCTCAGATACAGTACATCGCGAGTCAATCTCAAGGGTAACTCGAATGAATACACCGGGAGCGCCCAGGGCACAGTCGTGCATAGCATTTCGTTACTCCCGTGGCCTTCTCGGACACATTTCCAACTTCGCGAATCGCGCGCGGCGTTCACGAAGTCCGAGTACTGTCCGACCGGTGACTCGTCCAGACAAATGACTGGTCCATTGTTCGCCCTTTTACAGCATGAGGCTCTTCCGGTACCGATGGCGATGAAAGGGGACAGTATATAACTTCCCTTGTGATGACCAGCGTAAATTCAGTCTTCCAGCCCTATCGCTATGGTGCAGATGGATTCGGCACAGCCGAACATACTGGGTTTCCTCCTGGCCAATACGATCGGTGCATCGTCCGCCAACGCCACTTCCTCGCATAATGCCACATCCACGTCCACATCCCCAGCCTCAGCCTCCGCTGCGTCCTTCTTCTCCCTCCTCTTCTCGCCCGCCCTCTTCGAGTACGCAAAATGGATGCTCATGGGCAGCCTCATCCCCTACCTTCAGCAAATCGGTACGTGGCTCTACGAGAAAGCGCTCTCCTCCATGTTCGTCTCCGCCTCCTTCACTGAGGGCGACGCTGCGTATGATTGGATGATGACCTGGCTCGCGAAGCACCCCAAGTGGCGGCGCGCCCGCCAAGTCGAGGTCACCACGCGCCATGGGTGCAACGACGGCGCGCGTGCGGTGCCCGACGACGACGACCCGCACGCCGAGGCCGGCGTGACCAAGTTCTCCTACATCCCCTGCGTCTCCTCGACGCAGTGGATGTTCTTCCGCGGGCACTGGATGTCCGTGTGCCGCTCGAAGGACAACACGGGCTGGTACGGCAAGATGGAGGAGACGCTGCGCGTGCGCATTCTCTCGTGGGACCAGCGCGTGCTCACCGCGCTCCTGCACGACGCGCGTGCGCACTACGACGCCGACAAGCACAGCACGATCCATATCTACGCGGCCGACGGCGACAACGAGTGGCGCTCGGTGGGCAAACGGCCCAAGCGCCCCCTGCGCTCGATCGTACTGGCTCCGGGCGTGAAGGAGGACGTGCTCGCCGACGCACGCGAGTTCCTCGCGAGCAAGGAGTGGTACAACGACCGCGGGATCCCGTTCCGCCGCGGGTACCTCCTCTACGGCGCGCCCGGGAGTGGCAAGACGAGCCTCATCCAGAGTCTGGCCGGCGAGCTCGGGCTGAACGTGTATATCATCACGCTCAGCCGCGCGGGGATGGACGACGCGACGCTCTGCCAGCTCATCTCCAACCTGCCCGACCAGAGCATCGCGATCATGGAGGACATCGACGCCGCCTTCACGCAGGGCATCAACCGCGAGTCCGCTGACCCCGCTAAGCCAGCCTCCGCTGCCGCCCCGCCCCGATCGCCGCAGGGGGAGGCGGGCGGGAGCAGAGTGACGCTGAGCGGGCTGTTGAACGCGATCGACGGTGTGGGGGCGCAGGAGGGGCGCATCCTCTTCGCGACGACGAACAAGTACCACAGCCTCGATCCCGCACTGTGCCGCCCCGGGCGGATGGACAAGCACATCGAGTTCCGCCTCGCGAGCCGCTACCAGGCGCGCGAGCTCTTCCTTGCGTTCTACGAGCCGCCGCGGAAGCGCGAGCGGGAGGAGAGGGAAAAGGAGAAGGAGAGGGAAGGGCAGGAGAAGTGGGAGCGCGACAGCGGGTTCGAGGAGAAGCTTGTGGACGTGTCGCCGCCCTCGGAGCTGGATGAGCTCGCGGAGCAGTTCGCGACGGCGATACCCGAGCGCGAGTGCTCGATGGCGACCTTGCAAGGGTACCTGATGCAATACAAGACGAGCCCGCGGGATGCGGCACTGAATGCTGCTGCATGGGCGATGGAGCAGAGGGAGGAGCAGAAGAGGAGGGCAGCGGGGGCGTGATGGGATGAGGGAGTGGTTAGGTTAGGATATACCCGCCTGGGTCACTTGCTCGTACGGTGGGATGCTTTGGTGGCTTTTCGGTACGAGTGGACTCGGACATTACTGTATACCCTGTTGCACGCAGATTTTGATGTAAAATGGTATAACGACAATTTACGACTCGGAAGCATGAGCAGGTCGGTCGGACACAACCTTAGGCAGCTCCTGTAGGATTTATGAGCGCTTCCGAGATACCGAACGCCGACAGTGGTTACGCCACAAGCTGAACGCCTTCGGTCAAGGACATTCCGATTCCCCTAGAATTCCGATTCCCCTAGAATCGGTTTACTGTTCAGTCGTTGTATAGGGCTCTCTGGTGATCAAAAATTGCCAGCGTTGAACAGGGGGTATACCCCTTATAGCCCAAATTACCTCAACTGTAACGGGAGCACCCTCCTTAAATGGAAGGTCTACCGATCCAAATCTTACCTCCATCAGCAAATAGGAGCTATTACCTTTCGTGTCAATAATTACCGTTTGTGAATAGGGACTAGTTCCAGATTTGTAGTGTGGTCTCTGCACGGCACGATCCTTTCAAGATCTCGGGCCAATGGCACTGTCAGGCATCCCCCGGCTGTGTGTGGAATTGTGCCGATGGCAAGTACCCTGCTGCCTACGGCACAAGATTGGTAAGTTACATATGAGGCATAGTACTGGCAGGCCTCAGCCTGACGACATGCATCTCAGCTACAGTATGCATGTGCACTGACTCGATAGTAATGCTACCCAAGTGTAGTACTGAAGTAAATAGTGTATTGTGTATTTAAATAACTGTACTTGACACTGAGTATAGGATGATTGAAGGTTCTAGCCACACACAGTTATGTTTGAGAGTTATGAACTTATATGATTTAGTATCACTGAGATCAACATATAATAACTAGGAGTATTCTTGATGCCGCGCAGCGCCCGGGAGGCTAGAAAGACTATTTACCTACTTGTGGAACCCTTGCCACTTGTTTACCTTATGAGGAATCGGACCTGGTGTGCCGCGCAGCGCCGAATACTTCCCAAGTCGGTTTACTGTTCAGTCGTTGTATAGGGCTCTCTGGTGATCGAAAATTGCCAGCGTTGAACAGGGGGTATACCCCTTATAGCCCAAATTACCTTAACTGTAACGGGAGCACCCTCCTTAAATGGAAGGTCCACCGATCCAAATCTTACCACCATCAGCAAATAGGAGCTATTACCTCTCAATAATTACCATTTGTGAATAGGGACTAATTCCAGATATGTAGTGTGGTCTCTGCACGGCATGATCCTTTCAAGATCTCGGGCCAATGGCACTGTCAGGCATCCCCCGGCTGTGTGTGGAATTGCGCCGATGGCAAGTACCCTGCTGCCTACGGCACAAGATTGGTAAGTTACATACGAGGCATAGTACTGGCAGCATTGAGGCCTCAGCCTGACGACGTGCATCTCAGCTACAGTATGCATGTGCACTGACTCAGTGACTCGATAGTAATGCTACCCGAGTGTAGTACTGAAGTAAATAGTGTATTGTGCATTGAAATAACTGTACTTGACACCGAGTATAGGATGATTGAAGGTTCTAGCCACACACAGTTATGTTTGAGAGTTACAAACTTATATGATTTAGTATCACTGAGATCAACATATAATAACTCGGAGTATTCTTGATGCCGCGCAGCGCCCGGGAGGCTAGAAAGACTATTTACCTACTTGTAGAACCCTTGCCACTCGTTTACCTTAGGGGGAATCGGACCTGGCGTGCCGCGCAGCGCCGAATACTTCCCAAGTCAACTACTTAGGTTGTGAGGCATGTACTCCGGAGGTGACCTACGCATCGTTGCGTAGTACACAGGATCCCCATTGGCTGTCCAGTAGTCTTTGTCCTGTGTCGGAAAAATCAGAAAAACATGATATTGCTATACAATGCCAGATAATGCACTGATAAGTCAATCAGGTTCGAGGAGAGTTATCGGGTTCAGAAATGATCGAAAAGCGCGTATAAGCCTCCGTCAGGCTGATCAGGCCTGACGGGGGTTACAAGCCATTATAAGGCATGATAAGCCCGGATAAGGCCATGGGTCCCAGAAATGAGAAAAAGAGGAGCCACTCACGCCACCCGATGGTCATCGACACCACTACCTAAGACGTCACTTTAATACAGGTACTTCGACTTTGATTCGAACGAGCGGCCTTGAGTTGAACGATGATGATATATGTAAAGACTAACGATATAACTACTACACTACGCAACAATAGCTGCGTGGGTCTCACCTTGGTATATATATATCATACATACTGCCTTACCGGGCGACTCGTAATTACCGTCGCTCGCGCTCACGTCCTCTGACGTACGGCTCTTGTAGATTTCGCCATAACTTTAGACTTAGACTATAATGCTACCGTAGTCAACATGCCACCTTTAAAACACTCAATCCGTGTAAAGGCTACAACCGTATTTCAAGATGTTTCCGACGTACAGGTCTACTACAGAATTCCTGTGATATTACAGCACCACCAGAAGCCCCTACCTAATCCAAGCCTGACAACATCTGATAAGGGCTTATCAGCCTTGAAACATAACATTATAATGCCTGATCAGTCCGTCAGGTTCTGTCAGGGCTTATAAGTCTTTTCCAGATTTTCCGACATGGCACGCTCTCGAGCGTTAGATTGTTGGCACTCGCCGTATCATCGTTTGCACTCAGAAGGTATATGCACGAGCTCCAGCCTCTCGGAGGTTGGGTCGTGGAGATGCCGAATGAAAACAGGCAGTACTTCAAGAGATGAACAGTCATGACGGCACTTGATGAGGTTCCCGAATAACATTGGTACTCAATAAAACAAGGCAGCGACGCATACGCGCAGCAGTCAGGGCTTGCTGATGAATTGACTCGACGCGTCCCAGCAGCAGCTCTCTGAGTGAGACCAACGATGAAAACCAGCGGAAGATCGACCAGGCGCATGAAATGATGCCCATCAGGGACGAAATGCAATCCTCCCTACAAAGTTGAGGACGCAGATTATGTAAGCGAGTCGCGCAGCGGCTCGCAAAGTGGGCGCGGAGCCATTGCAGCGCATGCACCCAGACGGTTGCCCGACTATCATATTACCTAATTGTTAAATATTGGTAGTGTGCCGCTAGTGCAGCGGTTAGTGTGACGGGTTATTTCAGATGCAATGATGTGAGGTCGAGGTTCAATCCCACCCATGGACGATATTTTAAGCTTGCGATGATTTTAGTTGTCTTCACTCCATAACGCAACTTGACAATTTTCTTTCGTTCTCTGTCTCATAATGCCGTCATTCCAAGGCGCCGATATTGATGACATCGTGGCATTTTGAGTCCGGACAAGGGCCAATCTATACACAAAGCCTGCATTTGGTATTATACTTTGGGGTTCAGTTTGAAAAAATTAAAACTACATGTGTACTGATATAACAAACCATTCAACTTCTCATGATCATGGGAGGTGGTGTTACCGGTGTACGAACGACTTGCAGTGAGTACACAACCTCCTCACCGCCTTAGGACTCCCATTCCGAAGCGAGTCGCCCCGACTTCAGACGAAGTCCCTCGCGACGCTGCGGGGTTACCGCACAGTGTCTCGACCTTCCATTTATAGCGACTCGCGTCCTTAACTTTGTAGGGAGGATTGCACTTTCTCCATCAGGGACCTCTCAGAGCGTCGGTGTTTGACCTACCGGTCGTCCAAAGGGTGAATACTAGTATGGGACAGAGTCACTCCCTATTCACTTAAACGACCGGCAGAACCCCGGCCTACATGGCCAGGGTAGTGGCGTGTGGGGAGCGCCGGGATGCGGCCAACTTGGGGGTGTTAGAGGGGAATTAATTGAAATATGACGAACAGAAAAATATCTGACTGTCCAGTTGGATGTTGTACAGCATATAATAACATAGCAGTAGCTGTCCAACCACTCATTCGTAGGCTTGAAGCTTGATGGATCCGATCACTCGAAAGCCGCTGCAGCCATTGGACCGGGGTGCTGCAGCGAGGAGTGGTTCGGAACAGATACAAATACGTCAAATACAAGTAACCATTGGTCGCATTCCATGACCGGTCGCGGAGTAATGCTGAGCATTGGAGATTTATTGTTTCGTTGCTATGTGCTACATGTTGCTTTTGACGGGGTATAACGATACAAGAAGAGTGCCCAGGCTGTACCCGTACCGGAGACACCGACGGCATCCCACCATACATGCAACACCCAGGCAGGGTATATCCTATCCCACCTACCCTCTGATCCCATCACGCCCCCGCTTCCCTCCTCTTCTGCTCCTCCCTCTGTTCCTCCACCCACGCCGCGGCATTCAGTGCTGCGTCGCGCGGGCTCGTCTTGTACTGCATCAGGTACCCTTGCAAGGTCGCCATCGAGCACTCGCGCTCGGGCATCGCCGCCGCGAACTGCTCCGCGAGCTCATCCAGCTCCGAGGGCGGTGACACAAGCTTCTCCTCGAACCCGCTGTCCCTTTCCCACCCCTCCTGCCTGTCCTTCTCTCTCTCCTTTTCCTTCTCCCTCTCCTCACGCTCGCGCTTCCGCGGCGGCTCATAGAACGCAAGGAAGAGCTCGCGCGCCTGGTAGCGGCTCGCGAAGCGGAACTCGATGTGCTTGTCCATCCGCCCCGGGCGGCACAGCGCGGGGTCGAGACTGTGGTACTTGTTCGTCGTCGCGAAGAGGATGCGCCCTTCCTGCGCGCCCACACCGTCGATCGCGTTCAGCAGCCCGCTCAGCGTCACCTTGCTTCCGCCTTGGGTTTGCTGCTGCTGCTGCTGCGGCGGCGGCGGCGGCGGTGCGGAGCCGGTGGGGGGCAGTGAGCTCGGGGTGGTGGGTGCGCTAGTATCGGGGGACGCTGCAGACTCGCGATTGATGCCCTGCAGGAACGCGGCGTCGATGTCCTCCATGATCGCGACGCACTCCTCGGGCAGGTCCGCGACGAGCTGGCACAGCGCTGAGTCGTCCATCCCGCTGCGGCTCAGGGTGACGATGTACACGTTCAGGCCGAGCTCACCGGCCAGGCTCTGTATCAGGCTCGTCTTGCCCGTCCCGGGCGCGCCGTAGAGGAGGTACCCGCGGCGAAACGGGATCCCGCGGTCGTTGTACCACTCCTTGCTGTCGAGAAACTCGCGCGCGTCCGCGAGCAGGTCCTCCTTCACGCCCGGCTCGAGCACGATCGAGCGCAGGGGCCGCTTTGGGCGCTTCCCGATGCAGCGCCACTCGTTGTCGCCATCGCTCGTGTAGATCTGGATCGTGCTGTGCTTGTCCGCCTCGTACAGGTCGCGCGCGTCGCGCAGCAGCGCCGTGAGCACGCGCTGGTCCCACGAGAGGAGGCGCACGTGCAGCGTCTCGTCCGCCTTGCCGTACCACCCCGTCGTATCCTTCGTGCGGCACACGGTCATCCACCGGCCCCGGTAGAACATCCACTGCGTCGACGTCAACGCAGGGATGTAGGAAAAGTTTCTGGCGGTTGGGTCCGTCTCGTCGCCGAGTATCAGGCGCGCGGAATGGTTGCACCCGTGGCGCGTGGTCACCTCGACCTGCCGCGCCTGCCGCCACTTGGGGTGCTTGGCCAACCAGGTCATCATCCACTCGTACGCGTCGTCGTATTCAGTGAAGGAGGCAGAGACGAACATGGAGGAGAGGGCGTTTCCGTAAAGCCAGGTGCAGATCTGCTGCAGGTAGGGGATGAGGGTGCCCATAAGCACCCATTTAGCGTACTTTAAAAGGGCGGGAGAGAAGAGCAGGGAGTATATGGACCCGGACGAGGACGGGGGTGTGGATGTGGCATTATGTGAAGATGTGGCGTTGGCAGTAGCGTCCATGGAAGGCCCACTCATTGTGTTAGCTAGCATGAAGCCCAGTAGATTGGGCTGTGAATATTCCATCTCGCTTCTAGGAACTGAACTGGGCGACTGGCTTGGGTGGTCGCGATTGACCGTTGAAATTATGCTGGACATCCTATGGTTTATATAAGAACTCACCCTCAGTTCATCGCCATCGCCGTCGGTACCGGACCTGGTCCTGGTGCGCCTCACAAGAACGAATGATGGGCCAATCGTTCTCCAGGCGAGTCACCTGTCGGAATTCGCTCTTGCCGTCAAGGTTCCGAGAGAGGACGTTGTGACCAAATGCTATGTCCTGGGAGCGCTCCCATGGGCGCTCGGTTCATATATTCTGCGCCGCATTCACTTGGACTGCCCCGGACAACAGTGTGATTGACCCGCGGTGCATCTGACATGGTGACAGACACGCACCGGAATGAAAACGTAGTGCCCACTGCCGATACAGCCCAAGGGTATCCGGCACGGTGCACGCCACGGACTTATTCTCCCTTACAGTTCGGATATATACGACTCAAAAATCCTACACAACGAAAGAGTCAAACATATGCCCAAAAGGCAATTCCTCGCAGGGCGTCTTAGGAGCATCGCCTCCCTCGATGATCGATGGTCGTAAAAGTCACATAGAAGAGAATTCGAAAGCATAGCCCTGGCTACGGGCGCGGTCACAGCACTCGTCAACGCTTCCGGAGAGAGAACACCAGACCTACTTTCCTGTAACGTAGCCACAACCCTGAGCGTCTTCCGAGTCGTTCATTATAGAACATATACTATGTTTGGGACGCTAAATATAATCGAAGATGATTTGCTCGTGGATTCTCATCCCGTGCCGCAATCGTTGCGTGTACACAAGGACCGCTCGCTGGCATGTCATACGGTCACTCAAATGTCCAAGGTACTCGATGAAGTGACGATATCACTGATTCGTGTCCATGAGGTGGACTTTTATGTTGGATTGTAGAGACGCCGAATCACGGCAGGGATTGTCCTCAAGAGTTATACCGGATACGCCAAGGAACAGCCACGGCGAGTCTTCCGAACACTTAAGACGTGGCAAATTCAGTGCCATCGCGTCTGCTCGGCAGGAATATCAACCGTCTTGTGGGTGCCGCCGAATCATAGCCATAGGCGTATCTCAAGAGCATACCGAGCAACACCACCAAGAAGCCCTACGACAACGCGTCATGGAATTCCCTCGCACTGTGATCCGCGCAGGAACTGCATTGGCACCCGGTGGACCAACCGTGAAGTGAGCCGCGTATATACATGGATTCGGCAGACCGGGCTTACTGATACAAAGAACTCTCCGTATACCAGCGCTCAAACCGAGGCCACCGAACGTATATTTATCCAGTACAACTGGAGATTGAGTCGTGCATGAGACGTCCGTCAGCTTCTTCCACCGATAATCGCGGCATGCGCTATAGACGACAGACGTATACCCAGCGTCGGATCTCGTCGATTTCCGAGGTCGGGAAGCGCCAGAGAACCTAGCCGGAACATTCGACAATTCATGAGGGGATAATAACGTTGCAGCCAGTACCCAGATTAACCCAAGATGGCTGCTTCATCTCCAAGGATGAGGTTGTCAATGAGTCTCGTCCGCCCTACCCACACCGCCCCACTCAGAATCACCGGCCTCCCAGCGACGCTCTGCGCTGTAGTCGCCCCGTGCACCACCTCGAACGTCTCCGCGTCGTTCATATCGATATAATCCACCTTGACTTCGACCTCACTAACGATCTGTTGAGCGCGGTTATTGACCAGTTGTATAGCTGCGCTGACGGACTCGTCCTTCGTCCACCCGGAGGTCCATGCATCCCGAGCGGCTTGGAGAGCAGCGTAGAGGGTCGGCGCGAATTGCCGTTCTGCGAGAGTCAGGTATACGTTGCGGGATGAGAGGGCTAAGCCATCTGTTGGGTCGCGGGCTGTTGGCATGATGTGGAGATGTTCCGGGTCGGGATGGGATAGCAGCGTGTCTCGGACCATGCGGCGAAGAAGCAAGCCTTGTTGAATATCCTTCTGGCCGAAGTACGCGTTTGTTGGCTATGTAAGGTGAAAGTTAATATTCGGTTCCGCAAATCACAGAAAATATATCTCTGGGGGTACGGTAGGCCTTGGAAGAGCGGGAAAGCTAGTAGGCGGGACGTACCTCTATCGCGTTAAACAACTTGGTGACAACAGTGGCGACGCCTCGAAAGAAAGTAGGACGGCTCTTGCCCTCCATTTGCTCGCCGTAGCCCTTCACCTCGACAAAGGTGCCTTTCTGCGCGTCCACCGACTGGCTTACGCCGGACGGATACATTTCCTGCACAGAGGGGAGGAAGACCGCAGAAGGGGTCCGCACTACACCAGAAGGGGAGGGATTGGAGGAGGAAGACGACGAGTCGGGCGTATAGGACATCGCAGAGAGCAGCTCTAAGTCGAGTGACAAGGTCCTCGGATACGTAGCCAGATCCTCATTAGGAGCGAATTGGGTCGGGTTAACAAATATTGAAACGACTGTCAGGTCATTCGACGCCAAAGAGTGTTTAACTTCGTGCCAATCAATGAGGCGTGTTAGTATCCATCTCCCATACCAGTAAGTATGATCGCGTACCTAAAGACAGATGTCCGTCATGCAGGGCCCCCATCGTCGGCACGAACCCAACCGTTTTCTTTTCATCAAAGGCCTTCCTCCTCCATTCCCTGAAGGAGGCCACCGTCGTAAATATTGGGATAGGTGAAGCTGGTAGATCGCTTGCATTATTGGCACCAGGAGCGAGTGCCTGCGCCGTAGACATAGCCCTGCCAGTGAAGGTGAATATTGGTATCCTAACTTTCCGAAGTGAAGTATAAGTAAATGAGATCCAAGACATAATAATAAGCAATAAGTTTAGCGGTAGAGATCAGTCGACCATCGCGATCTTTGCGGCGTATTTTCCACTTTCCTCGGTGAGGGTGAGTACACGGGCTGCACGTGATTACGGCATAGCCCGTTGGGACCTTTGTGGCTTTTTGTGGCTGTCGAATCCGAGGTGATCGCATGCTATGTGCATGCCACATCAGGACATGATCCTTTTGTGTTTATATCAAGCATAGTTTGTTAAGATCGCTATGCCAGAACCTTCAAATAACATAAACCAGCTCAGACCCGATATCCCTATAGTTCTTTACGGCCTCTGTCGAGCCCTGAATCCGCTACCCATGGTAACGGACGTTCCATCCGCCCTTCGACCTTCTCGCCTTTCTGTAGCCTGTTCCGCCATACCTTCCACTCCTCCGCCCGCCCACCGTCCGGGTATACAAGCCATCCATCCTTGAGCTCAATCCACTCAGAGAGTGGGTTCAACAGCAGACCGCGCCTGAATCGGCCCAGGAGGCTGTCTGGTCTTCGGATCGGTATCAACTCCGTGAGGCCGTAGAACACGACACCATACAAAATTCCGATACCGAGGCCCCATAAGATCTGGTGGGGTGTGTGGTAAGTCAAGCGGTATCTGAAGAAATCAACGTCCCTCGTTAGCAGTGCGGACTGGGGACGAATGTCAGGAATGAGGGTTGACAGACCGAGAGTACGCTACTGTTCCCGCCCATGCCGCAAGAGCTAAATATAAGAATACCCTCCAGGCACGGTCTAACGTCCTGTTTCCCGAAGTTGCGAACCTATGCCGGAAGTACATATGGCACATCAGGAACGAGGCGAAGTATCCCATATTCTGGCTGTGCGAAGAAGGGAAGCCGTAGCCATGGCCCAAGCTGTCTAAATGGCGTAGTTAGCATGGAGTAATCATCCAGTATGGAAGCGTAGTAAAGGAAGGGCTATAGAAAAACCGGTTGAGCAAAATATACCGACCTTCGGGACGATCCTGCTTTATCAGACGCTTCAGGACCCAGTTAAATCCTTCGCAGATGAACTGGCCAGCCCACATTTCAATAATCACGAGCTCCCTTGTATACACCGAAAGGGCAGCGTAGGATGCCTATCCTTACGTGAGGAAGAATCATGCAGAGAATGAGATATCATACCATCAATAAAATGGGGCTTAGCGTGAGCAGCGCCAGCAGGAACGATGTCGTGGAAGAGGGATCATCTAGAGCAACCAGTCAGGTTGGTTCGCGAGCCCGGTGCTTCGTATGTCTCACATAGAACATGGGTGAGTTCCAGAGACGCTCGGGACAGCTCGCCTTGCGACATATCAAATGGAATTTACTGAACTTTCCTACTCGTGTTTCAAAAGTCCAGAGTATTGGTAATGTTGGGTGTCGACAGCCTTATGAAAATCAGAGTCTAGTGTAGCATTCCTTACGACGCAATGGATTTCAGAGTAACCGCGGCCATGAAGGAACAAGTCGCGTCTCTCTGGAGGTGGCAGCGTTGCACGTGACCACCCACTATGTCATAAATTCCATAAATGGTATTTGTCACCCTTGACTATTGATGCTAGACACTGTTTTACGGTTTGACGCTGCTGCTACCTGTTGCTGCGTGTACTAGGACTCCGCTAATGGGGAAGCCTATCTTGTTTCATAAGTCTCCCTGCGTGGACAGGGGCTTGCCTGAAGTCCGCATTTTTCTTCGTCCATGTTGTAAATGGTCGGTTATTTCTTCTGGAATTAATGCAGCTTGGGTTGGCGAGCTTGTTAAAGTTGCTTTCCCTTATACTTATATTATGGAAGGACATGAACATTGCCTTCGCGCTATTGCCCGTATGCTAGGCTTGGAGCTTGTGGTAATGATCCCCGATCACCACTTAGGGTGAAGATGCAATAGGGGCAAATACCTGTATATCATGTCGCCGGGAAGTCTGGACCCAGTATCGTTTTCTCTCTTTGTCCTTGGGTTTGGGTTCCTGTGCTCTCTGCTTCATTCCAAGTCCTCCAGGGAACGCCATGGGAAGAGCTTTCAGTTCTCTCGCAGGGTTCCTGCCGTTTGTACCGTGAGCTATGTGCGGCTTATGTTACGGGGCTGATGCTAAACCACGCGGGTCTCAAGATATCCGGTGCCGAAATCATCTATCGAAACCATTCAGAAATCGATTCACCGTCTGGTTCCTGGGAGTTTGTGCATTGAGCATGATTAATACCGGGGCCCAGATCTACCTAGCCTGCCATAGGACCTTATATATGCCGGTCTTCCTACATACTTGGGTGGGTCGCATCATTGCTCAGGGTTAGCCAGTTGATCTTACGCCACTTCCTCAGAATGTCATGACGCAGGGCAGGGGTCCGTTAATAACCAATGTCGTGTCCGTACGCACTTGGGCCGAAGAGAGCCAAAACTTGGTTCAAGCCAAGGTGTTCGGAATGGGGGCGCAATACTTCCAGCAGTAGGTTAATCTTCTCCCTTCCCAGATAGCAATCTTCAGAGTGTCTATCCTCGACAGACTAGACTTCCCCAATGGCGCATTTCCTTTCCTCTTCTTACCGTCGTACGGTGACGTGACTGGCTGCCCGGCTAACGATACGTCGATACATCCGAACAGACTATTCGACTTCTCTGTGTGGCTCGATGGCTTCCAGTACTTACCTAACGTGGCCACTTCGGATCGTGCCGAGTTTGGCCCTGCCCATCAGATGGTTGTGGTCTACAGCTGACACTGACAGCATACGATCGATATTGCGGATGCATTCGAGGCCACAAAAGCTCAACCAAGCGATTGGTTCGATGAACTGCAGATAATAACTCAGATGAGGGCTCACAGTCTCAATACCCTCTATACCGTATTGGTAGGCTTTTCGTGTCACATCGACTGCCGCGTCGAGCTCATGCGGTTCCATTCTAGAATCTTGCGTCGAGAGATCTGCACCACAAGGATATTGAGGGAGGGTATCCTTGTACGATCAGGACGGAGACTTGGAAGAAGCCTCTATCCTTGATCACCATGATCCTCGGAAACAACTCGACCCTATTCGGGTTTATCATCAGCATGCTAGTTTCAGTGGGCGCATGGCATGACTGGCGCCGTTCCGGTGCGCATCTCATCTTCGGTCCACAACGTATCTTTTCGTCGCTCATCCATGCTGTGAACGGTATTCAGATTCAGACAGTCGACAGAATATAGACGTCCCGTTATTCCCCTCTCGCAGGTCTAGCTATAATCGCACTTCCAGCGAACATGACGACTTCTATGTCTTTGACGTGAAGGCGTGAAGATGGAGTACTGATGAAGGGGATACTATGCCCCAGACGCCAAATGCCGCCGTTTCTTAGTCATAATTGGACATGGAATGCTAGCCATACCTTTCTTTGATATCCAATCGCGAACTTACTCTACAGTCAACCAAGGAGTTCACCTACCTCCCTGTATTATTTTTTCTCTGACCATGACTGTCATATGTATTTTGAGAGTGTGATTGTATTATATCCCAGCCGCATCACAACGTGTTACGATTGCACAGTACAGTGGTCCTCCGGAGAAAGTGACCGGTACTACTGACCCTAGTCTGGGGTTTGGGAGACGCTTCGATCCGGACTTCCATTTGACGCGCGAATCTCAAGCATCTTTAACAACCTCAGGATTTGACCGAGATCGTGAAAGATCACATTTGAAACGTAAGGAACAACGCGTTGTGGTACAGAGACTCGGCGTATACAGCTCATTTCCTAGTAGATAAAAGTCACTGTCTGAACTGGGCGAAGACTCCGGTTCGATTCGGCCCTGCCAGTGCATTAACTACCCACTACTTGAGGAACCCCGCGAGACAGAATGGACCTATCCTCTCCTAGCACATCCCGTACGATGCTACGTACCGGTACTCTACCAGCTCCAAAGATTTCACAGTTGGCATCCGCTTACCCTTTCAGCCAACAAGTCCGTTCGTCATTTCTTTAAGCATCGCATAGTAGGCATAACTCATTCCTTGCAGATCGATGTAGTCGTGTCCATGGGCAGTGATTCACAGCGATCCCAGACCAACCTCCTGGACTCCTTACAGAACCTAGAAGCATCATACAATAGGGCCAAGGTAGGCTTGCTGCCTGTTTTCGAGTACGCAAGTTCTTTCGTCGACAGCCATGGACATGAAAGGTTTGTTTCCAACCTTGGAGTCAATTGTGGGAGGTACACACCTGAAAGTCCACGTAGTAGCGCTAGCTTTTCAGCTCTACCCCTCCCATCACCCTTGTCAGATGACTACTGGTGCATCGATCCGCGAGGAACCCTGACCCTTCAGGTCGCTAAAGACACGTACGAGACATTAGGGCTCGTCGGCTCCAAGCTCCCTTTCAAATTCAGAGAGGCACCTGAGCAGTACAGTGCGTTGTGGCGGGCAATACATCACTGCCTATCTGAGGTGTTATCCTAGTCATTCGAATACCGTTACGGAAGCAGCTTGAAACACCCAAAAATTGGGAGAGGTACAAGGGTGCACTTAAAGCTTGGGATCAGAGGAGAGAAGAAAACGCTGGAGGGTGGGATATCTTGTTCAGCTGCTCCGTAGGAGGTAAGGTAGACCAACCTAAGTTTGGTCACCGCTTTAATGGAACCTAGGTTTTCAGCCCCCTTTCCCTCACAGCACCCCCAATGCGAAGCCTCAAGTAACCAGACGGACGCAGGTGCATATTCCGAGGCCTTCGATAACGCCGTGTCCTTTGAAAGGCGAGGATGCCAAGGACGACTGGGAGGAGGGCATGTCCGAAATATTTGAATGGGTCGGTCTGGTGTCCCTTGGTTCACAGAGGTGATAGTATTCTTTACCAAATTATTTGAAGATCCCCCCTGACATATAGCAAATGGCGGGTCCAGGCTGGCAGCAAACGACAGGGTTGACCCCTTTGTCGCGATATATAGCCCCCCGGACCCGTCATACGTCGGGAACGTCGTCCACCTGCAATGGACGGGATTCCTTTCTCCGGAATTTATTCAATCGGTGATAAACTTCTTGGTGTGAGTTCTACTGCAACGCTTTGGGACGGCAGGAGAGCTAATATGACTCCGGTTACTTTGCTACGCTCGAGAAGTGAGCACCGTCCCCCCTTATCTTCCGTAACATCACACTGTCCATATAATTCGCCGGTCTGTTACCTGCCGGCCCCTCCCAAGGCACCGCCGATACGGGTGGTCACAGAAGACGCGGAATGCACATGGTCCCTAATTCTCGAGAACGCCGAAGGCAGAGAAAGCCGGGGCGTTCCAGAGGACCCGGAGACGGGCGTTAGAGAGGCAACGTGGGCGATGGCGGAGACGGCCAGCAAGTGGGATATGCGCTGGGGCTAGCTGCCACAATCGACGTCGGTCATTGAGAACAGTCCAGAAATATAACATATGTATGTCGGGTCCAACATATCACGGCGTCATGATGTTTCATAGTATTCAAAATCATAGGAGTCCATCATCTATCGTATCCTTTCTAGCCGGACCGCCGGCTGACTCATGCAAGTCACTTGAGCGCCGCTGCGGGTGTAGAGGGGAGACGAATAGAAATTTCTGAATGCACTTCAACCACCGCAGAAGGGTGGTGGAAATATGGTTTGCGTCTATACATCTCCCCACAGCTGCTCGAAAGACATGTCATCCCTGTACAGCACATCGCACTCATCAAGGACCCGCCATGCGCGATGAACAGCCACAGCAGCCACATTGTTCCGGAAAGGGAAAGAGCTGAAGTTTTAAGCCTCCGCTCTTCGGCCGCAGCCTGCCCTAAAGTCCGGTTACTGCGTGGCGCGTCTTCGAGCAATCGCCTCTCCACAACCGCGAACCGCGTCGTAAATACCCTTCCTGTCCCTCAATACCCCGTCAGTCTTCCCTGTATCACTATCTCAAAAAAATGGGCCGACCCCTCTTCTCTGGTGCCTTCCGCGACTCTGCCCCCGCGGTCAGAGTCGAACCCGACGTAGCGTATCCTGCGTACGAAAAGTGGACGCAGAACGCGTTCGACCCTGACTCGGAGGAGTGGTTCGAGAGCGACGACGCGGTCTACGAGGCCTTTGTGGACCAGGAGCCGAGGCCGGAGTTGAGGGAGGGAGGAAGCAACTCGAGCAGATCGCCGTCTCCAGGCAGGGCCACCCCTAGCCACGCGTCCGCTGGTGCGGGCGTCGTGGTCATCGAGGACGCTAGTGATGTGAGTTCTGGATCAAGCGAGGGAACTGCGAGCGGCAGGGAAAGTCCTATGGAGGGCGCTGCTTCGGAGGATGCAGGGTCGGACAGAGGTGACTATCCCGGCGGCTATGTCCCTCTCGTTGTTCGCGTGCCCGTCAACCAGACTGAGCGTACTGCCGGTGGTCTGACGCGCACGCGGGTGCTACACGACCGTCCGGAGGCGCCCCATGCCTACCGAGCTGGGGATATACCTTCCCTGTACAATATGGCGTTCCGAGCCAGAGACAGGTTGGATACGCCAAATAACCTACCCAGCCGCGCCATTGACCGGGCGATCACCACTCGAACGTCCGACATCACGCCAATCGTCGTGCGCGCTCGAGCGCCCGCGACGCCTCCCACTCCCCCTCCTCGCCTCACTACCCCTCCTCCGGCCCCTCAGACGCCAGCCGCCTACATGACCCCTTCCCCGCCTCCATCCGTCACTCCTAGACTATATCACTGGTCTCCTGCCCCTGCCCCTTTCCCCGTATCCCCTACCCCCGCCAACCGGCGTCTCCTGGGCAACACCAGCGCCAGGATGTCGCTCGCCCACATCGCCCCCACGCAGGTGGAGGCGCGTCATATCAGGATCTGATAGTCGCGGAAGGATGTCGAACAACCTCAGATGAAGAAACAAAAAAATGGCCGGGTTCATTCTATCCCACAGTGCTCGCCTACGCACGTCCAGTCCTTTCCATATATATCATATCTTAGGGTTTTACGACGCTTGTGCTCGCAGGATGTATCAAAACTGTCTGGGTTGATGGGGTTGTCGCTGTTGTTCGATATCATTATGCTGTTCATTGCTACGTTTCCACCACACATGCTTCTTCGTCTGTGCATCGTCTACACGCGGAACCAATACAGTAGATGTCATTTCGGTCGCATTGCAATACATCCCGAGGCCCGATCTATGTCAGTAACTCTATCATACATACACACTCGGTCGTGCGATCCTAAGTCATGGGAGAAGATCCAATCCTAAAACTACAAAGTGTATCGGTACCCGCTCCACTCGTCGCCCTTCTCCCGGCGCGCTTCGTCCACGCTCGCAAACACGCCGTTCTTCTTTGTGCGCTCGTCGCCCTGTACGCCCTCGATGTACTCGTTGCGCTCCCCGCGGTCGCGCCGCGCGTTCTCCGCGCGCAGGAGGGTCAGCATGAGCACGGAGGAGAGCAGCCCGAGCCCGATGTACAAGAGCACGATGCCGTGCCCGAGGGTGTACCACGGCTTGTCCTTTGCTCGGTACTGCCGCGGATTGTCAGCAATGAAGTCGGTTCAAAGAGTTGACCGTACCAAATAATACTCACAACGTTAGAGCTGACGGCGCCATTTATGTTCCCGCTGGCAAGGCATGGTGAGTCCTGTCGACGGGATGAAATGAAAAGGGAGTGACGTACAAGCTTATAACCATCGCCAAAGTAACGCTCCGTTTGTACGATCCTTCGACATTGTTGGAGATCCAGGCACTGACAAGGAGCCATAATCAGCGCGTATCGCTATCCACGCTCCAAGTGCAACTTACATGGTATTAGCTAACAACGTCGGAAGCAATTGTCCATGATTAACCGCCAAGAAGCACTGTATGATAGGTGAAGCACTCACGAATCGCGGGGTATATACCACTAAGAATAGAACATCAGCAAATGGCAGAAATGCCGCAGAGCACGCAGGACGTACCAGGCAGCCATGTAGACGGCGACGTAGGAGAGCGCGGCGTTGCGCGAGACGATGAGGATGATGTATCCCGCGGCCGCTGCGGAAGGGTAAGGTTTAGCTGGAATGCAGCGGTGTACAAGGTCAGTGGAGGCATACCGAGGACGAAGCAGCCACTTGCGAATTACGGGTAAAGCATGAGAATTGTAGGTTGTGAGCGATTGATAGGAAACTCACATGTTGAGGTACCCTCTACAGCCATGCCTGTCTGCGATGTATCCCACCGCGCAGGTGAAGATGCACGCCAGGACATAGACCGGCACGCTCAGCAGGTTGGCCGGCGTCGCGGAGTAACCTAGCATCGACCGAAATTAGATCGCCCCATCACTGCGCCAGATAACCACAATTCCATACCGAGCTGCCGGAGGGACATTCAGCCGACATTAACCTACGAATCCCAACTCGAACCACGCACCTCGCTAATAATACTCGGCAAGAACAGCGAGAACGCGTACAGCGGGCCGTCCGCGCCCATATACACGATCATCGCCAGCCACGTCTTCCAATCCAGCAGGCTCTTCCATATGTACTTCATCTTGAGCGTCTCGCCCGCCGCGCTGAACTGGTCGTCGCTCTGCAGGCGGCGGATGACGACCGTCTTCTCCGGCTCGGAGAGGAACTTGGCGTGCTCGGGGAAGTCCTCGATGATCCAGTACGAGACGGCGCCGGCGAGCACGGTCGCGAGGCCCTCGAGGATGAAGATCCAGGCCCAGGCGGGCTTGCCGCCGATGCCTGCCATTTTGGAGATGGCGGCCTGGAATAGGGTGCTTGCGTCAGCGACGGGGTCATGGATATGCGTAAAGATAGATAGACGGAGAAGGATGCTAGAGTTTGGGGAAGGATGGAGACTTACAGCCAACAAACCGCCGAACGCTCCAGAAACCGTAGCAGCGGAGAAGAAGATGGCCGCGCGGATGCCGAACTCGGATCGTCGGTACCAACTACGCACAGAGGCATCATCATTCCAAGGCCCAAGTGCAACATAGATAGACAGCACGCTTACCATGAAAGGTAGTAATTAACGCCCGGAAACAGGCCGGCTTCGAACATTCCCAGCAGCCATCGCATGCCTGTATATTTGGATATCAGCGGCGCGGTGACATCAGGCAGATTGGCACGCTGAGTCAGGACATGGTGCCGGACTCACCCAGAAGGCCGCCGTAGTTGTGCACCAGTCCTTGAACCGTCTGCAGGTTCCGTGAGCGCGCTGAACGTGGAGTTTGCTAGAAAATGTACCATCATTATACCCCAGCAGAACATTAGGCCTGAAAGCCATATCGAGGGACGCAGACGCTTGAGGAAGACGTTTGACGGTACCTGCACGAGTACGTTCAGCAGGTGTCGGCGACCAGCGGAAGGGCTATCCTTGCCTCAAAGACGGCATAGGGAAAGAAGAAGACTGTAAGGGCTATGAGGTACTGGTTGTCGCTTATGTGAAGATCTTTCTCTAGACCGTAAAGCTGTTCGACTCGTTGTCAGACGTGGAACATGAGGAGTGCATTGGGCGCACGTACCTTGGCGTTCCCGATGCTGGTCCGATCCAGGAAACTCAGGAGATACAAAAACGAGAGCCACGGGATGAGCCGCCAATCTAGCTTCCTCATCAACTTGCGCTCGTCCACGCCGCTAACGTCGACATGGGGGTTGTAGACAGAGGTCGAAGCAGGGCTGGCTTCCTCGACCTCAGACACGCGCCCCTTTTCCGATACCGAGCCAGGAGGAGACGACTTGGACGCGTCCATGGTGCAGCAGGTCCAAGGTAACTGGGAGGCGCTGAGCAAGAAAGCCAACCCACTTGCTTGCCGTCAGCTTATATCGCCGGCACACCAACTTCCTGGACGGCTAAACCAGCCACCGCTTTGGATTAGGCTGCTCCAGAGAATCATGGGGTCGACCCCAGACCCATTTTGGCAGAGGACGAATGGAACGAGGGGCATTTACGCGTGGGAGAACGCGGGGAAGTTCCAGCTGACTGCCAGAAATAACGGATCATCCGCACATTGCCCAAATCCGGTATGTCAGGACGGCTGCCCTTGATGTTCCCACGCCGATGCTGCCCTCCCATTGGCCGCGATCGTACACACTGTCAGTCGGTGCCGGCAAGTACCTTCGCGACAAGAACAGCTGCCAATCGTACAGGCGGTGGCACCAGGCACGCGAGACCGCCTGCTCTCAATTGTCTGCAGAACATAAGGGAGCTATGTAACTGACTGAAGTGCTCTAGCTATGCCCAAGATCTCATCCTCGACCGGATGCATTTCAAGCAGAAGCTTATTTCAAGCCACTGGTCCACGCCCAGCCAACCTTGCCTATCGCAAGACCCAACATGCGGGTCCGCATCCAATACGAGAGCCCACAAACCCGGGAGCTCGGAGCGCACGAGAAGACGCATATCAATAGACTCGGTCCACCTCTATCTACGTCCCACTGCTCATCTCCAACAGCGCCTCAATGCTCTTCCCCAGATCGCCCTGGTTCGCCTCCAGCACCCAATCGATAATCTCCCTATCCGTGCTGGGGAAGATCTGCACGAGCGTCTCCCGCGCCGCCGTCGCCGCGCGCTCGTGCGCCTGGTCGATCTCCGCCTGTATCCCGGCCAGGTCGAGGTTCGGCGTCGGCGTGCGCGACACGTGCGCGCCCTCCGACTCGGACTGCGCCAGCGCCTGCATGCGCGGGCTCGGTTGGGGGTGCTGGTAGACGGCGGGGAGCGACTGCGATGGACCCATGGCGAGCGGCTGGTGCGTCCACGGCGCATTCCTTGTCGGCGTGTGCTCCGCGAACCCTGGCGAGCTCATCGACTGCGAAGACAGCGGCGACGGCACACGGCGCACCCTCGGCTTGTACGGCGTCTGCAGCGTCTGCGCATTCCCGGCCCCCTGCCCCGCGGGCGTGTGCGGCGGCGTATACTCCTGCGCGGAGCCCTGCGACCCCCAGTCGAGGTGCTGCTGCCGCTCGCGCCCGAGCTCGAGGGGCGCGAACGGCCCCGGGAGGTAGCTCAGCTTCCCGTCTGCGCTGTCCAGCGCCTCGTTGAATATCCGGCTGATCGCGTTCAGCGGCTTCGACACCGCGTCGCCCGTCTTCTGCAATAGTCTCTTCGCATCTTCGCTGAGCGTCGTCCCCGGACCAGGTAGTGACAGCGGCTGCGCGGCTTCCTCGCCCAGGTGCGGGGAAAGTGGAGGGCCGGGATGCCCTTTCTCGTTGCTGTCGCGCGGCGTGGTGGGTTCGGAGGGATCAGGTGTGTGCGGGAGGGCTTGGATCGCTTCTTCCACATTGCTAGTTTCCAGAATCGCGGGTCAGAAAGTAGACGGTATGCCGGCATGCCGAGAGGTAAGAAGTGCACTTACCGCTCAAACTCCTCCTGCGTGATATTCGACAGTGACGTATGGTCCATTGTCTCGATAAACGAGACCGCACCCATCTGCAAGACGAGTCAGCATGTACCAGCTGGTAGGTATATACGGAATCTCATACAAGGCTGGAGAGATAATACCCCGCCTCGCTCTGCAGTTTCGCGGGGTTTCGAAAGCGGTTAATGAACCTGAACACTCGAGTATCGTCGTGTAAACCGCCGACCAGTGAAACCGGGTGAGTAACGTATATCACTCACTCGACATTAGAGAGTAGATGCTCGGGGTTGGCCTTGAGGACGACGTAGATTAGGATAGGCAAGAATGAGTCCGCGCTCTCCTCCATGTGCAGGTGGCGGAGGAGACCTAGTGGATATAAAGTATATGCGTAAGCTCGGAGGACGCCTGGCGGGACACAGAGGAGGGCAGACCGAAGATGACCTTGCAGCAGTTCAGGATACATATCAGCTTGTCGCGCGGGGCCTTGTAGTGGTTGATCTTCAGCAATTCTATCATACGCACCCTTCGTCAGCATGCAGCCCCGAGATTCCGATTCCATGCAGCGACAAACGAACCTTGCTGCGCAAACATAAGGAAGCCTTTACTCCCCTCCCCTTCGGGCACGTCCAGGTGCTTCTCCTCGATCCACCCGAACAGCGCGATGCGCTGCGCAAGCACACGGTCGCGCTCGAGGTCGTCGGTCGTGACGGGCCGGGGCGGGACCGCGCGTGCGACAGCCGGCGTGAAGGTACTGTAGGCATACGTTGGAGTCCGTAGAGATGAAAAACGATCCTACTTACAAAACGTAGAGACGGTTCATGACGAGCTTCTCCATGCCCTCCATCGCGTTGTCGAACTCGGCGTCCGAGACGTTCCGCCAGACCTCGCACTCGCGCATGCGGCCGGAGATGAACTGTAATACCCCACCACCACCACCACGAGCATACGGGTAATCAGCGGTGGCGCGTAGGCAGAAGTGGAGTACGCACACCGAGAAAGTCCTGGATGATCTTCACTTGGTCGTTCACGGTAAAGGTGCGCTTCGCGAAATTACTCAGAAATCTGAGAACCACAGACAAGTAATGAGCACCATCTCCGCCGCAAGGCAGGGTACCAACATACGTACGAGCGCAGGTACTTCGCCACCGGCTCCGCGCCCTTCATCTTCATCTGGTCCAGGAACTTCTGGAAATCAAACGGCGGGTCTTTCTCCTTCTCCTTATCGCGTTCCTCCCCCCTACCAGATCTCGGAGCTTCTGAGCCGGAGGACGAGGCGCTCTCATCCCCGCGCTCCTCCGTGGCCGGGAGAGGGCGCTTCTGCTGTTGTGATGCAAAAGACGAAAGGGTAGAAGGAGAAGGAACTGAGACGGCCGTATCGAGTGAACGCGGACGCGTGCGGGGGAGCGGGAGCGCGAAGGTGCGCGCGAGGGCAGCGAGTGAGGGGAAGGCGGGCGAAAAGGGGGACGACGGGGACTCGGGCGTGTTCGACCCCGAAGCAGGCTTGGGCGACTCTGGCTCGGGCGACGGCACCGGGATGGGCGCGGGCGCGGGAGGGGACGGGCGCGACTCGGCGTGCGCCCAGGCCTCGCGCGCGGCTTTCTCCTCGTGCGAGGCGGCGAGCGGGTCGAACTGGGTGAGCACTTCTTCTGACACGCGCGGCTTGCTCTCCTCGTCTTTGAATGCGTGCTCAGCTGAGATCCCCGCGGCCGGCTCTCGTAGGCCAAAAGGTGTTGAAGTTGCAACCGCGTGATCGTTGGGACGATCGGCCCCATCGTCCTCCCATGGGTTAGATTGTGTTATGGCTTGCTCTTCGAGGGTCGGCGCATGCTCTACTTCCGAAATGTGAAGACCCTGCAGCGAAACATCTAAGCCTGAATCGCGAGCTGGTGCGGCGGCAGCCTCGGCCGCCATTTCTTCAGCTGAAAGTTGCGGCTGTCGGAACAGGTCGTTGGAACAATGACGCCAGATTCAGAGGGGCAGCATTCAGAGCAAGTAGGTGTAGAGCGTAGGAGATACTGTCCACTGCGCAAGGCAGTGAGGGAGCACTTTGCACGCGAGGCTCGACGCGCGTGATAACTATTTCGGTAAGATATACCAAATTCGGCGATATCTGCTTTGTGGCTGAAACGGAGTCATCTTCCTCCTCCCTGCCTTTCCTCTAAACCGCGGACCAGATACACACGACTAGACACTGGCATGTTTAGCATGAATCTGAGCTGGCAGTACAAATGCCTGATTCATATCGCGATTGAAGCATGAGGACATGCCTCATGCATGCGAACTGCATTTCACCATCGTCGTGAAGGCTTATATCTGGACGTTCTGGATTTCTGTCCTGGCCCTAAGACTTACGACACGAATACCCAGGGCTCACAGATGTCTTTCCCTCGCCGTGCCTATTTGTTCTCTCTATTTGCGATACGCCTACGCAAGCCGTCGTCATACCGCTCTCTAAGTATGCCGCATCTGCAAGCTTCCTACACTGCTCCAACCTGGAAAACCGCTGGAACAACCTTTATTAACCTTCTACACTGACGTCGACGCCAACACCTCTGGGAACCCGCGCATCTTCTGCCGATGTCTCTGCTGCGGGTCTCTATACATAGACCCGCCGGTACGTCTGCTACGCTTAACGCTCCCACTGTCCCGGTTACTCCTCGTACCGGTGCTAATCTGGCCTTGGTCTGGCGTTCTTGAGAAGGGATGCGTATGGCGTACGGCGTCCGCTTCCGACGTAGCCAAAGCTCTCGTAGCGCCCTCTCAATTACCCTCTGCTATCACCGCTACGCAGGTCTGTCCCAGAGTCGGAGAAGCATGCCATCCTTGACTTCGCAACGAAGAGACGTACGTACAGCCCGCCGACATCCAGGAAGCATTTCGCCCAAGAAGAGGAAGAGACAGCTCTCGTGGGTCCGCGTGCTATGTAAAGGTAGGTGATCTCCATCTTGATATAACCTCGGGGGTACTCGCCTACGATACGGACTCTCTCTTGCCTGTATATAACCCCTTGTCGCCCATGCGTCTGCCTTCCTACGCCCAAGTCTGCCACCCCCGCAAGGAAACGGATCCCTGTCGCTCGGTGACCTCAACGCACAGAAACTGCGATGAACGACAGTCAACCGCCCACGACGCACCCGGAGGGCCCCATCACGATATGCCCGGCCCCAGCTCCCGATCTAACCCTCATCACGTCCGACGGTGCCTCCTTCCTCGTGCACAAATCCATCCTCTCCATCCACTCCCCGATATTCAGCGACATGCTCGCCGTCGGCGCCGCCTCTCCCTCCCCCTCCCAAATTGCCGAAGTGTCACTCACCGAGGACGCGCGCACACTCGAGGGCCTGCTGCGTTACTGCTACCCCATGAAAGACTCTACCCCCGCACTACAGGATGACCTGGGACGCCTGTGGGCGATCCGCAGAGCCGCGAACAAGTACATGATGGACAGCGTCGAGGAGCGCGTGTCCGCGCAGCTGAAGGGCCGGCACGCCGAGGACGCGCTGCGCATATACGCGCTCGCGTGCCGCGACGGGTGCGAAGACGAAGCCCGCAACGCCGCGCACGCGCTCCTGCGCCACTCCGCGCTGCCCCGCTCCGTCCCCGAGCTCGCGCAGGTCAGCGGCGCCGCGGTCTTCCGGCTGTTCGAGTACCGCGAGAAGTGCGCCAGTGCTGCGGCGGCGCTCGAGTTCGCCTGGCTGGCGACGGCGCACGCGGACTGCGTGTTCCTCCGCGCGGGGGGCGAGCACACGGGCGCGTGCGCGGAGCGCGGGTCGGGGATGCTGATCGCCGGGGGGCGGGTGCTCGTCGCGCGGGCGTGGTGGAAGGACTATGTCGGCGCGGCGAGGAAGCTGTTGAGAGAGCGGCCGTGCGCGGACGCGGTGAGGGCGCCCGAGGGCGTGTGGAAGGCGCTCGCGTGCGCGGCGACGTGCGAGTGCTGCCGGCGCGACGCGTACACGGAGTTCATGGCGTTCGTGGAGGCGTATGCGCAGGAGGTGGACCGGGCCACGGCGAAGGTGCGTCGAGTGTCTCTTGTTGGCGTGTGTCCTGGACGCAGGCGTTGTTCTTGCTTAGGTGGCGCAGGAGATGGCGTTCGCAGGGGGGGCGTGACGCGCGTGTGGGTGGCTCTGCGGGTTGGCCGATATCGATTCCGAGCAGCGCTTGGTATTCCATGGGCGCTGTGTCAGTGTCATATCCGAAAGATGTGAAGGCTGTCAAGTCGGTAGATTGGTCGGCGATACTGTGGGCGCTCGATAGGTATTTGACACGGTGATTACCTTCAGACTCGCCCTTGGACCGCTTTCTACCAGTGGATTGTAGAATTTGGATAGAGGATAGATACCCCTTTTCGCTGACCGACAGGAAAGGCACCATCGCGTTCGGCAGCGTCTTGTAAGCGAGGAACGCTCGTCAACACGGGAACTTCTCATTCCATACCGATGCCACGCCCCGACTAGGTTTGTCACGACCACTGGCAGATGCATTTCACCGAGGATCGCTTGCAGATCGTGATACATTATTCGCAGATGAAAGGCAAGTCTGCGATTCAAAGTGGCCGCCTTCCTCTGGAACACTGGTCGTTATTGTTGAGACCCGTTGCAGACAATAACTGGATACGCTAGAATAGGCAGCTTATCCGGATATGGGCTTTGAGCCAATGATCAGTCGGAGGATGGCTCGGTGCCGACGTCGGTCCTCTTCCGTTGCTTCCGAGCACAGCTGCTATAGTCCATAACGAGCCCGCTTCTGGCTCGCATCTACAGGCATCTTCAATAACGGCGGGCGATCTACGGCTGATAAGACATCGGAACGGGCGGTCTCCGCGGGATGCAGCCAAGTGAAGGGAATTCGAGGAGGCAAGGCAATACATGCGGCCGTAAGCAGGCAATTCGAACGGGTCCGTCTCCACTATATACGAAATTGGTAGGAGGTGAGATGTGAAGCCGGAAGGCGTAGAGTTCCAGAGTCAGGCGACACTGGCAGCAACTCCACGTTTGTGAGTCAGGACGAGGGAGTCTGGAGGTGTTAGAGAGACTCAGGCAGACAAGGAACGGGCTGCGAGACAATCGCAAATAGATTTGGTGTGGCCGGCGCAATTGTTTGGATCAAGGTAATCAGCGCTAGTCTGGGTCCATACCTAATCCGAGATTTGGAAACAAGGCGTTTAGATAGGAGGCAGGCCGGGAGGCACTGATGGACGTTACAACATGGATCAAGAGATATAATTGCCCATTCTCAGACATAGAAAAACATTTTAACTGCAAACCGCGGCGGGTCCAAGGCTAGCTGCGCTCTTGCAAAAGACGAGGTAGAAGAGAGTATATCACGGACGAAGACTTCACGAGGTGTACGACCGTCGCTGCAGAGCGAATGGCAAGCAACGCACGGTAGCGGCCGCGCCAGATGAACGGAGGGCGAGCGAGACGGGGAATAAATCAGCCAATCAGGAGAAGCGCGCCGCTAAGGGGGCCTCCGTCCGTGACGCTGCCATCTATCGTACCATTTTCCGCGTCACAGAAAACACCCCATTAATTTCCGCTGCTATATAACTCCTCTATTCGCTCCTTTGCTCGACGACCATCCCTCCCCCGCATACAACCGCCCACCCCACCACCGCCAGCACCGACCATGACCATCCCCATCGTCAACAACATCGTCGAAGAGCTCCAGGTCCGCCCGCGGCCCAAGGATGTCGGTATCCTTGCCATGGAGATGTACTTCCCGCGCAGGTGCATCTCGGAGGAGGACCTCGAGGTGTTCGACGGTGTCGCCAAGGGCAAGTACACCATCGGCCTCGGCCAGCAATACATGGCCTGCACCGACGACCGCGAGGACATCAACTCCTTCGCCCTGAGTGGTGAGCACCGATGACACGTCCATCTGCGTTCAGTTCGGATTCTAATCCAGCCAATAGTCGTTTCGAGCCTCATGGAGAAGTACAACATCGACCCGAGGTCCATCGGCCGTCTCGACGTCGGTACCGAGACGATCATTGACAAGTCTAAATCCGTCAAGACCGTGCTCATGGACCTCTTCGCCGAGTCCGGCAACTCAGACATTGAGGGCATCGACTCCAAGAACGCTTGCTACGGATCCACCGCTGCCCTCTTCAACGCCATCAACTGGATCGAATCCAGCTCATGGGATGGTCGCAATGCTATCGTCTTCGCCGGCGACATCGCGATTTACGCTGAGGGCGGCGCCCGGCCCGTCGGAGGTGCCGGTGCTTGCGCCATGCTCATCGGACCCAATGCGCCCATCGTATTTGAGCGTGAGTATCCTTCACTTTACGACTCGGGACTCGATACATCTCTCTTCCGTGCATCCCGTCCTGTCATGTTCCTGTCCCGATGTCCAGGAACACTCCCCTTTTGGAATGTCTTCGCCGCCTGACTATCAGCGCTGACACCTCTTGTCATGTCTAGCCATCCACGGCACGTACATGGCCAACACGTACGACTTTTACAAGCCCAAGCTCGACTCCGAGTACCCCGAGGTCGACGGCCCGCTCTCCATCACCACCTACCTCACCGCGCTCGACAACTCCTACTCGCGCTTCCGCGAGAAGACCGCCAAGTTCAAGAAGCTCGCGCAGATCCACGGGCACGCGCCCAACGGCGTCAACGGCGAGGTCAACGGCAAGTCCGAGGACCCCAAGGCCGTGTTCAGCCTCGACGACACCGACTACCACGTCTTCCACAGCCCGTACGGCAAGCTCGTGCAGAAGGGCCACGCGCGCCTGCTCTACAACGACTTCATCTCCAACCCCTCCGCGCCCAAGTTCGCCGCCATCGACACGTCCCTCCTTAACGTCTCCCCCGCCGCGTCACTCACGGACAAGAACCTCGAGAAGGTGTTCACGGGCTTCGCGAAGGACCAGTACGCCTCGCGCGTGGCGCCGTCGATGCACTGCGCGAAGCGCTGCGGGAACATGTACACCGCCTCGCTGTACGGCGGGCTCGCGTCGCTCATCTCCGCCGTCGAGCCGTCCGAGCTCAAGGGCAAGCGAATAAGCATGTTCGCGTACGGCTCCGGCGCGGCGTCGTCGTTCTACACGATCCGCGTGAAGGGCGACACGACGGAGATCCGGGAGAAGATGGACCTGCTCAACCGCCTCGCGAGCATGAAGGTCGTGCCCTGCCAGGAGTACGTTGACTCGCTCCACGTAAGTCCCACTCCACCTGCTTTGCATGCTGTGCTAGGAGCTCATCTGGTTTATCCCACCCAGCTCCGCGAGTTGAACCACAACGCCGCGGCGTACAAGCCCACGGGTGACATCGACAACATCTGGCCGGGCGCGTACTACCTCGAGGAGATCGACTCCAAGTACCGGCGCAGGTACGCGCGGGCACCGGTTGCATCAGCATGAGCAGAGGGCGTTGTTGGGTTGTCACTGGGTCGTATTGTCACCGTCGCATTCGCAGTTATTATTTAATCAGTCGCAGTTATGCTTTGCTACTCACTCACACTTAGACCATACTATTAGATGTTTACGCTCAAGGATAATATATGCCGTGTATTATGCAAGTCATGCTGGGGTGATTCAGATCGAGCACTGTAACCGAGGGTGGAAAGTTCATGACCCCCTTCATTCCCTCGAAGCTAACATGTAAAGTGAAAGTTAATCCCACTTGGTTCCGTCTGCGATCTGCATATGAAAGGCCATGCTCTCGTCAGTGAGCAGGTTGGGAATGGTTATAGGGATGGAAGATGCGCAGACCTCCATGATTGTTCTGTCTATCCTTGCAGCAAAAATCTCACTGAACTCTCTGAGATCATCGACGCCTCGACCAGACCCGCACGTAGCGCATGTGCCCATAGCCTTGAAGGACGGCCACAGCACAGTGGAGGACGTCACGACCGACCCTGCAGGCGTCTCCCTCAGAGCCTGTTCCGCGCGGCGCATGTACTCCTTCCACCACGCCCGCGGTCTTATTTCTCGCCCGTCGATGGCGATCGTCACGTCGCTCGCAGCGCACACGGTACATAGAAAGAAGACCCACGTCCTGTTGATAGCCTTGTTGTTCGTGAGCCACTGGAAGTCGGACGCCAGGGACGCCGCGAGGCTCGTAGCGCGCCGCCGCACCTCCCATAGCCGGTGGATGGCGGACGCGGGGATGTATTTCAGCTCGTCGACGTACGGGCCTGGAAGGCCCTGTCGAAGGACGTGCGGGATCGCTGCCGTCGTTTCCTTGTCCAGGTTGTATCGCCGCGCGATGGCGAACACGCGCAGGGGCTCGTCCCGCATGAACCTGGGCGATACGAGGTCACTCTTCAAGCGCTCGGCGGCGTGCTCCAGCTGGTACTTCAGGGCCGCTGCGAGTACGGGCGTAAGCTCGTCGAGCGCCTTGTTATCGGGCGCTGGCACGGGGTAGCAAAGGCGAAGCAGCTTGTCCAGGACTTCGCTGTTCTCCTCGAGCATCGGGACTACTTGCAAGTTGCCTTCTTGCTCCTCGGGTTGTACTTTAGTCGTTAGAGGTCGGTCGGTTGCGCCTTGGCCTAGAGCGAACATGTCGCTGAAGAATGGCGAGGCGATCGCGAGGATGCCTTTGTGCACGCGAAAGTCGACGTCGTCTGTCGTCCTGAGGATGACGTCTGCGCTCTCGTGATTGAACGGCGCACCCGCGGGACGATAGACAGCCATATTGCTAGATGGACTTTAATAAACTCAAGCCGAAATGCTACGAGGTCAGCGAATGTAAGTAAAAGGAATAAAAGCGACCAGGAGCAGAGACCTACAGGAGTGACGCGTCTGTGGCGTCTGACAATGCCCAAGCAAAGCCAAACAACGCGCTGGATCGATCCTCGAATCAGTGGGGTCCTTGCTGTTCGAATGCACTTGTCCGAGTCATCCCGGGCGCGTTGACCGATATTTCGAAGAAAGGTCGGAGTGAATGGCCTTCACAACCTACATGTTCTTGTCTCTGACAACGCCGACATGAAAACAGGACCCACGGCCGACGGCATCTGATCGTCGATAACTTGAAGTGCATAGAGGGTAGCTGCATTTTACTTGCCTTTTGCAACCTAAACTGCAGCTTTGTTACTGTACTCTCATGGATGCCTTGGAACAGTCCTCGGAGTCGGACCCTGAGGATATCCTTTCATCTTCTCTCGGGACTTTGTACGACTACACGCCGATCACACATTCCTCTGCGGGGTCCGTCTTCACCTACAAAGCTCCTTCCGATGGACCCACAATAACCCTGCTCACGCCCGATACTCAGGCCTCGAATTGGCACCTGCATGCTTCCTCCATCTGGGTCTCCGCCCTCTTCCTGGCTGACCACCTTGCCGAGCTGCAGCTGCCCCCTCCCCCTAACCCGATCTGCGTCCTCGAGCTCGGGGCATCCGCCGGCCTGCCCGGCATTCTGCTTGCCAAGACGCACGAGCACGCCCGTGTCACAGTGAGCGACTACCCCGACGAAGAACTACTTCGCGCGCTTTCTGAGAACGTCGCAAGGAACGGCGTCGGTGAGAGGTGTCGTGCGGTACCGTACGCCTGGGGAACAAATCCGGCACTTCTTCTGTCCAAGTATCCAGTGTCCTCGCTGGGATACGACGTGGTCATTGCAGCGGACACGCTATGGAACCCCGAGCTGCACCCGCTGTTCATCGAATCCCTCACTATGAGCCTGCGTAGGACAGCCGATGCCAGGGTGCACCTTGTCGCCGGCCTGCACACCGGGCGGTACACGGTTGAGTCGTTTCTCAAAGCCGTGCAAATTGCTGGGCTCGACGTCGTATCTGCGACGGAACGTGCCGTCGAGGGCGATAACAGCAGATCATGGAGCGTCTCGCGCGCAGAGGGAGAGGATGAACGGGAGAGACGGAAGTGGGTCGTATGGATTGTCTTAAGATGGAACATGTCATTGCTTCTGTGAAGGTTGTTACATGGGTCTCTTGGAAGCGGCCTGGTATTGGAAGATGGCACTGTCCTGGACGAGCTTCGCTGCTCTGGTACTGCATCAACAGCGACAACCTTTCGATGTCCTCTTCACGGTGTCGACCTGTTTTCTCGCGTACTCCGCGACGTCTCTCCTGCTCTAGGCGGCTCTCTATTACTCCCTGTACGGCTTCCGCCCTACCTTACGCTGGAAGAGAAACACAAGTCACAAGAATGGCAAAATCGATGCAGTCAATCATTGCTCATTCTATAATCAATCTCTTCACACAAGACATCAGAGCACATCGTCTTCACATCATCGGCGATCTCTCGGAACTTCGCCCCTCTCGTCTCCAGTAAATCACAACACCACCACTCTCGCGGAGCCGTCTCTGTCATCGGCTCCGGATGAGGCAAAGTCCTGGCAGGCTCGACCATCCTAGAGGCCTTGTCATACTTGCAAGACGCCACCTGGTGCCGACAGCCGAAACTGCATGTAAGACTGGGATATTCAGCTCAGGAGAAGCATCCAAGAATCGTTCGCGTAGTTAGGGTATCGGCACGAGCGCGCTTGGATGGTGAACGGAAGTCGGAAGGGGGCTTAACTGCCACTTGAAAACAGGCGTTGAGCGGATGTAGATCGTAAGAGTAGCGACGGAATCGGAAGGTGATAAAGAGTGATACTAGCGGGAGACTTCGAAACATGTATCGGGGGAACAAGGAATTCAGCAAGCTGTTTCAGCATCCACAGGATGGGTTTGCGGAGGTTAGCTGGAGGGGCTGGGTACAGCGATGAGGAAGGATCGCACGATGTACTCAGGCCAAGGACTGTGATTGAGGTCCGTCGTTACGGAAATGAAGCATTATAGGAGCACTGGTCGATTATTTTGCATGTTGTACGGAGTACATAGGACTGACCTTAGACCGTGAATGTCTTTGATGCACAGAAAGCCGAGCTGTAAGTCTAGTTTGTATCTAAACGCGCTGGTTGTTATAAAGCAACAGGAACCCCCATGGTCCCGGCCTCGAGCTATGCATCAAGAGATGGTATACTGTATACGAGACTAATGTGCTTTCAGTAGGAACCAACACAGCACGTCGCCGATGCTCACGTATGTCGGAGCATATGCGATGGTATCTATCACTCAAGCAACACTGAGTGCACGTCAGCGCGAACTCTTAAGTCGGGAGTTCGTGTTCTTTCACTAAACAGTGACAGGTCGCCAAGAGACGTAAAGAACGAGATGCTTGAGGAGACAAACAGCGGAGTAACCCGCATGCCATAATCATTCATCCGCATGAGCACAATCGGAAGTACAGACATAGCGATACACAGCATAGGTCACAAGACATTCAATTACACCGCGGGGGGCTTGGTGCCAGGCTGGAAGGTGTAAGTCAAACCGCACTTGCCGCAGTACTGACGGTCCTTGTGGAAAGCCATCTGGACAATAAAATCAGTAAGCACTGAGGCAAAAAAAGCGACAGAGCCACACAACGCACGAAGATACCAGCACCGCACTCGGCAGCGGGACACTCGCGACGGAGACGCTTAATCTTGCCATCGGAGTCTACCTTGTAGTACTTCAGGATAGCCATCTTGACCTTCTTGCGCTTATGCTTGATCTTCTTGGGGGTGTTGTAGGTCTTCTTCTTGCGCTTCTTGGCACCACCGCGCAGGCGGAGGACCAAGTGCAGGGTGGACTCCTTTTGGATGTTGTAGTCGCTGAGGGTGCGACCGTCCTCGAGCTGCTTGCCGGCGAAAATCAGACGCTGCTGGTCCGGAGGAATGCTGTAGCAAGAAGTGAGCGAAAGCCGATGCGACGGGAGCGGCTTAACTCACCCCTCCTTATCCTGGATCTTGGCCTTGACATTGTCGATGGTGTCTGAGGATTCGACCTCGAGAGTGATGGTTTTACCCGTGAGGCTGTAGTCAATAATCAGTTAACACATTCTGCAACAACGCTTGCAACGACGTACGTTTTAACGAAGATCTGCATCTTCGCTCTTGTCTGTCCAACGAACTAAACGATGGAGTCGTCGACAAAAGCGTAAGTCTTGAAAGGGCGGCCTGCAGAAGATGCGGAGATTTATAGGAGGGAAAGGATTTGTCAGGTCGCGGGTTGTTGATGGCCCGTGCGTGAGAATTAGTCAGCTAACCGACCGGCGCTTACCGAGACGCGTTTTGGCCGACGCATTTACCGACGCGTCTCATTAGCTTTGCGGCGCGTCTCGCATAACAGCTCATACTCTTGGTCATCGACGCGTCTCTTAGCCTGGAGCACAGTGTAAAACGGTGGAACACAACATGGATAGCGATGAGGACACGCGAATGATGGACGCAGAGCCGATTCCCTCTGCGCTGAAGGGGAAGGGGAAGGCGGTCGAACAAGCCAATGGTCACGATGAGGACAACTTACCATGGCGAGTATATCGCTGTAATGAACCATGGCGAATTAACTAATATTGTTATAGGGTAGAGAAATATCGGCCAGTAACATTGGATGACGTCGTCTCTCATAAACACATCACTAGTACAAGTAGGTCCTTCATCCGTAAATGCGTGCCATGATGGCTCAAGTGCCGGCAGTCGAGAAGTTTATTGAGAAGAACAGATTGCCACATCTCCTCTTCTACGGCCCTCCAGGAACGGGCAAAACGTCGACTATTCTCGCTGTGGCTCGTCGGATATATGGGAAGGATTATAAGAAGATGATACTTGAGGTATGGCACTCCCGACCGTCTTCGTTTATTTGTATTGAAATGTCCGGTAGCTCAATGCCTCGGACGATCGTGGTATAGACGTAGTTCGAGAGCAAATCAAACAGTTTGCCGAGACACGCACGTTATTCTCTACGGGATTCAAGCTCATCATTCTGGACGAAGCGGACATGATGACACAGGCTGCCCAAGCTGCTCTAAGACGTGTAATCGAGCATTATACCAGGAACGTGCGATTTTGTATCATCTGCAACTACGTGAACAAGATTACCCCGGCCATCCAAAGTCGGTGTACGCGCTTTCGTTTCTCACCTCTACCAATCCCAGAGGTAGAGAGGAGGCTGGAAGGAGTCATTGAGGCTGAAAAGTGAGGTTCCTGCTGACTCTAGTTTCGTGATACTGACGGTGTATTTCTAGAGTGAAGCTGACTGAGGACGGGAGAAAGGCATTGCTGAAGCTCTCGAAGGGTGATATGCGAAGAGCTCTGAATGTACTCCAAGCTTGCCACGCAGCGTATGACCTAATTGGTGAAACGGAAATCTACAACTGCACGGGAAACCCACATCCGTCAGATATCGAGACCGTCGTGAACTCCATGCTTTCGGACGAGTTCACCACGTCATATCAAAGTACGGCTGAGTCCAAAGCAGAGCAGAGCATTTTTTCACAGTCTCTCGCAGTGATTTCTGCTCTGAAAACAGAGCGAGGGTTGGCACTCCAGGATCTCATCGCTGGCGCGTACGACTACATCGACACCATCGACTTCAAGCCTCACGCCAGGGTCTACTTGTTAGACCATCTGGCCACGACCGAGTACGTGTCTTGTGATGCCTTGGCAGACCATGGAGCTTATTTTGGTGCGTAGGTATCGGCTGTCCACTGGCGGAAACGAGAAGATCCAGTTCACGGCGCTGCTAGGCGCATTCAAGAACGCCGTAGAGTTATCCGCGAAATCAACGTAGCACCATGTCTCGTTGATACTATATAGAATGTGTAAGACGCATAACTCCTACTTGAGCTATTGCATCCATTCACACGATCTTCACGACGTCCGACGCAGATTTGTCCTAAGGTATGAATATACGCATATCCGGCCACTAAGAAATATAGGCTACATAGGAGGTAGTATGGCATATGTGCGTACGCTAACGAGGAGCAGGATGTCCTTTCATGAGCTTATTGATTGTGTTTGTCCGCAACGGTGTATCAGCGAACAACGCCCGAACCAGCTTGATTAGCTCATCGATTTCAAAGTCAACTAACGCCCCCTCCTCGAAGAGGTATGTTATATCAGCGATAGATGCCTCCTGCAGGGACGTCAGATCAGCCGAAGCAGACCGTGAATGAGAGACTCACCAGCAATTCAGAGAGGTAGGAGAATTTCAGCCACGAAGGCACATAAGCGACCACCATTGACGGCTACACGCGATTAACAAATGCCCTATCAGATAGACGGCCTGGACTCACTTGCTCCGGGTCTTCCACAAAGAGACCCTCCAGGGCGTTGAAAATTCTGCACAATTCGCTAAGTCTGTGAGAATCCAGTTCTGGGATGTCGGACAATGCCAAGATATCTCCCAACATCCGTGATAGAGCTGCTTCGGCTACCAAGCCCACCGCAGAGTAGTACTTGCTTTTCTGCAAGATAGGCTGATGCAGAATAAGCCATAGGGAGCGGGAGATGAAGGAATGATATCTACCTTCCACAGCTGAGCGAGACGTCGGATATGCTGGAGTGCTTCGTTGGCAGCATTTTCGCATTCATCGAACTGCTCTTGGTCTGCAACGTCGACCAAACCCTCTGTCCGCGACAATATATCATTGATTGCTCGTTCTTCCTTTTCCTGCGCGGGCTGTGTCAGTCGAGGCGACACTGACGTAGATGTGGCACTCACAATACTGTAATAAAACCAGGAGTCGCCAAGGACTTTCAGTCGGCTCTGGCACTCCGATATCTTCTCCTTAACAGAAGCGGTCCCGAAAGCTGCCTTCTCTAGCTCCACGCCTAGATAAAGGCAGTCATTAGAGAAACGCATCGAGCGTGAGGCAGACTCGTCAAGCTCGGGCAGGAACTTCACGGGATATAGCGCTCGGTATAAATCGAGTACCAACGAGGCGGTCTGCATCAGAACCGTGCCCCGGGGATGACTCGTGGAGGCTGGAGAAAATATCTTCGACGCTGTATATTCCTTGCTCTCTTGCACAACTGAACGCACGATATCCAAAACGTCCTTCACGCGGTTGGATACAAGGTAGCTCTCCTTCGATACAGTCCGAACCTTTATTGGTTCTAGCTGCTTGCTCGGCTTCTTGACGGGTGGGACAGGCGGAGGTGGAGCAGGAGAAGCGGGGATCGAAGGGGGCAAAGGGGAAGCAGCCGGAGAATCGATACTCGATCGACCGTTCTTCGCCTTCGCAGATAACTTCTCCAGCCTAGTAGCAGGCTTGGGGATGGGTGAAACAGGCAATGGTGGAGGTAGTGTCTGCAGCGACTCCTGAGGAGGATCATTCCAAGGATCATCTTCCCAAGGATTGTCGTCTTCAACCTCTTCGGTATTGTCTTCTACCGCCGTCGCCTCATCGTCGTCTTTCCAGCCCCAGGCTTCTGCAGGGCCCTCGTCCTTGTTTTCTTTCAACTCTGGCGCAGGCTCGTCGTCGTCCAAGCCCCAGCCATTCTCATCGATTGCATCCCCGTTGATCTCCTTTTCGTCCTCAAAGCCCCATGCTGAATCGTCCGCAACGTCATCCTGCACGGCTTCAACCGGTACCGTGGTGATTTCCGGCTTGGTGTCCACCTCCGCTCGGAAAGTCCGGCTGGGGTCATCCTCTTGGACGATAATCGCCCTTGCCCGATCCAATATTTCGATCCTCCGCTTCCGCTCATAATGTCCGCTTATCCCCTTAACCCAAGCTTGGATCTCCTTGTCAGGGCTCTTATCTCCCAAAACATTCGATATATATTCTTCCTCAAACTTGAGGGCCTGCTCCGCCAGACGCAGGAACCAGGGTAACCTGTCAAGGCTGGCAGGCAAGGAGGGTATGAGCAGGTTCTGAAGCACGGCGTTTGTGAGCGGCTTGCACAGGGATTGGCGGAGGGAGTTGACATGTGGCTCAGGGATGGCGGTAAAAAGATGCGTGCTAAGGAATGTCAATACCGTGGATAGATTCGCCAACCTGGAAGACCGATTCTCCGAATCCGGCGGCGAGGGGAATATGGTGAGGTGGTACTTAGTACTCCCCGGGATGTCCTCGTTCTCAGAGACGGACACGGCGCATGGCTGCTTAGACAAGTAGTCGATAAAGTGCGTGCTAATGTCTCGCCGCATAGTTGATATATGAGCACCCATGGCCTCGGGTGAGAGGCAGGAGAATATTGACGGTAGATTTATGAATGTTTCTGACCGGCGAACTTGACATTGCCGAGTGAGAACATGTTCAGCGTGGCCGGTCGCAACGTGACGTACCTTGCACGGAAGGTCGGATGATGATTTCAGTCGCGGAAATCACCACGCTGCGGGTGTAAGCATCGTCCAGCTGCTCATCTGTGCGGGCCTTCAGAGCTTGGAATTCGCGCTGGAAATAAGCTGATGAGCGATCCATTCCGTATTCTACAGATGAGCCATGATACGAATGAGTGGTCGGAACACTGCCAGAAGGTCATAGTCCATCTCTGGGACCTCACAGTGGACACATGATGCACAAAAACCTGGTGCTTTCGTACATCGCGTGTCAACCCTGGTGAGGAGTAGCCACTTTCCAGCGGCGCTTGTGCAATCCGCCTTGTGACTCTCCCATAGACAGTCGGTATCCAGAGATTACGCATATTCCGTAGAAATAAGTTCATCACTCACTGAAAGGTCTTTGAACACTTTAGCTTGAGTCAAAGGTGGTGGCGCTTCCATGACAAGTTTCTGCAGATTCAGACAGCTGCTCTTGGCTTCAGGGAGTTTGCCCTCTCCTAGGCTAAACGTAAAGTTTGTATACTCTTTCCGGCATAGTGCCAAATGTTCCAGCGTCTCAAGCTTCACTGAAGTATTTGTTGCTTCCTGAGCGACAGACGCGTGTGAAGCCAGGTCTTGCAGCAGTCTTGGAATTAAGCCTGACTTGATTGGACAGTCGTATCATGCTCAGACAGTCGATATGTAATAGTTGCGCACCTCCGGATCCGACAGTGAATGTGAGAGGTCGTCAACGTTCGCCGTCAGGGAACGTAAGCGTTCTTGGACAGACTTGGTCGATTCTAGCTGGCGTCCAAACAAAGGCAGATCCTCATGTATACGATCATGAATACGTTTCTATATTTGCAGTTCAATAACCTCCTGCAATTGAAATTTCCGCGAGTCAAACGTACTTTCGTCAAATATATTGTATCGTCCAGCTGCGCTACCCATGATGAAGCCACCTGCGCCGTTAGGCCCTTCTGGGTAGTCTCGGATATCGCGGACAGTATTCTCGTCGACACATCTTGCGGGACGTTCTTACGCGGTAGGTGGTCGGGTACGAGGAAGGCCATGCAGGACGGTGACGGACGCGAGCAGGTCGTGCACGGCGCACGTGTCCCGGTTACACGTAGCGTCACTTCGCCGGGAACTCTAATCGAACTCTATAGCTAACGACTTTCAAGTATAAAGACTCATTTCTTGTGTTAATTCGCTATGTTCGGGCGTGTTCTTCTCGTTCTCGGCGCGCTCGCTCTCCTGCACGGTCTGTCTCAATGGTAACGGAGTGTGAGTCTAAGCTTACAGAAGCATGTGTAGCTGCTTTCTCCACGTACGAACGTTAGTCGCTGCTCCTCTACGACGGTCCTCTATGTGACAGTTGTGAATACCAGACCTTTCGTACCTGAAAGCTCTTGGCAGGCTGGAAGAATCAGTGCCCAATGATGTGATCAATGCCTTTACATGCTCGCCGCTTATCCGACTAATATTCGTTGAAGGTCACCTTGGAGGCCCTAGTCGGCTTGTTCTCAGGGATCCTGGGAGCGTCATTAGATGCACCAGCTCTGAAGGAAATTACCTGGGCGAGCGAGATGAAGAAACGGTGCGTATTCTTTTTGCTCGCGGGCTCTTCGAACCAGCTAACACTACGACTGATTGCAGCACGATCGATGAAATGGATACGAGGCTCGGATTTGCGAATTGGGGAAACCGAGGTAGCTCTTTACTAGGGGAGAACTACGGCAAGAGTAAGTAGGATGTACCGTGACTTGCACTCTGGATGTCAGGAGGTCTCGAGGACCCCTTAAAGTACTATATTATCTCTTCCCATCGGTGGTCGCCCATATTCGCCGGATATATAATATACCCTGCTGTATCGTTGTCGACTTGAGACGACCATGAATCCGCTCTTGAAAGTTGTGGCCCCTTGTGGGCGCTATAATGTAGCCACATTATAATGGTTTCCCGATTTGGCTTGCAAGGCCAGCTCCAAAGGCCAAGCGCAGCGAAACAAAGGCAAATATCGACTTCAACGTCCACCTTTGCTCTACCCCTCTGTCGTCAACCGTGCTGCAGGCCGTCACTATTTATTCTTGTTTCTGAGGCTCCAATGGGACTGGTTGAGGTGAGCGGAGCCAGCTATATGTCGTCGTGTTTGGACCTGACCCCTCGCAGGAATTCGAGTCGGCGTTGAAGGATGTCGTGCAGGGGAAGCATCTGTCGGCGTCGAGGATGAACAAGTTAACAGAGGTCGCTCTCAAATCCATGGAGGTACGCGTCTACTCTGTGTTTGTCTCGCTCAGTGCACTCATGGTTCGTACTGTACATCGCTCGACGCGTGCAACAGAACGATACACAACTTGTATCTGTACTGTACCGCACGCATAAGACTCTCCCTCCAAAGTCCAAGATATCTAGTCTGTACGCGTTTGATGCGCTCGCCCGTGCAGCTCGCAATAAAGTGGTCAAGCACGGCGTTCCTAGCGACGTAGACGCCGGGAAGGGCAATTGCGCCACATTTCTGTTGAAAGTGGAGGGCGTCTTGGACGGTCTGTTTCACGACATGATTTCGTCAGGACCTCCAGAAGCCAAGGTTAGTGTTTGCCCCCTCTGATTTTCCGACGTTCCCTACGTAGCATTCCGAGCACGGCCGGTAAGGTTGTCTCAAAGAGCACTCTCGGTGTCCAATGTCCCATGGACATGGATGCTAATTCGCGCGCCTACGACCGGATAGCAATTCTGCCCATCATACCCAGTCCGCCCGGCCGTATACTTCTGTTGATCGCCACGATCCAGCACCACGCGTCAAGGACTCAATGAGCGCGTCCAGTCACATGATATGGATCGTCTACGTTACGCTTTCTATTTTCTCAAGGGACGCGTAGGAGATGATTGTCCTGACATCGAGTCCTTTTCTATGTTGCCAACAGGAAAAGACAAAGAAAGTTCTTGACATATGGGTCAAGTCCAATACGTTCCCTCCCGCTGTTTTGGCGCGCCTGGCAGATATCGTGAAGGAAGCTGACAAAGGTGCTTATCGAGATCCATCTTTCTCCCCGCTAAGTACTCCTCTCCGCCCTGTAATCCTAGCTATGATATCCAGGATCTTTGCCTGCCGTACAATGAGAATTGGAACTGAATCAGCGTCTGGTTTGTTTCTACGTCAGAGCCGGAAATAAAAACCGACACTACGCCCGATCCCCGAGCCCAGTCCACACCGCCTACGCAGCCGCCTCCAGCACACCCTACTCCACCAGCGGTGGACGCTGTGCAATCGACGCTGTTAGCGTTACTTAGTCAAGCTGCAACAGCAGCAGCCAGCCCTCCGTAAGCACGATATTTACCTCCGCATCCAGATTTCATTTGTAACGTCCATAATTATAGCCAAATACCACCAAACACAGCCGCAATAGCTGCCGCGACACAGGTCGCGCAGTTAGACGTCAATCAGCTTGCGCTGATACAGCAATTAGCACAGACAAGCCAATTAGGCACCACGAATGCTGCACAGTCTCCATCAGTACCATTATCCTTAGCACCACCCGGCCCTGCTCACGCACCTAATGCGCCGCCATCTTATCCTTTTCGGCCGCCCGATCGTGACGATCGGCGTGAATACGACCGTAGGGGCCCTAGGGTAGACCCATACAACGACCCGCGCCGTAGCCATAGCCGCGATGACTACCATGATGACCGAAGAGACTTGCGAGGCGGCTATCGTGGCGGCTACCGCGGCCGTGGACGAGGTCGAATGGATGATCGGGACCGCTTCAGTCGTAGGGATCGCGACTGGAGATCTCCTCCCAGAGGAAGACCGAGTCGTTCTCGCAGCCCTCCTGGTGGAAGGTATGGACGGGACAGACAACCTCATAGCCCCCCTCGAAAACCACCGCTACACCCTTCGGCTCACCATCCGGAACCATCACGCCTTCGTGGACCTTCTGCAGACTTAGACGAGTTTGGGCGAGACATCAGACCGCAATCTAGTAGAGATCCCGGGACGGCGTCTGCATCTCACGACAAAATAGATATGCAGTTGCAGGCCAAGTTGACATCTGTACCCTCTTCATTAGAGCGATCACCTACATTGGGAGATAACAAAGCGTCACAGTCACAACCACCTAGTTATCCCAAGGGAGCTGACGTCGGCCCCTCGAAAGTTCCACTAAAACAGAAAGGACTCGACGACTATGATTTCTCGGCCTTTGATCCTACGTCGCCTGCCGCGTGGGAAGCACTCGGGTCGGCGTGGCAAGTTACTCATGGTTATCAACCCTCAGCAGAGGAAATCATGCAGTTAGTCATGGCAAAGACGATGCCGGCTATGGCACCCATGGGCGGACAAGTAGGGATGGCGCAGGGGGAGCAGTGGGGCTCCATCGGTTGGCAGCAGTATCCAGCAGAATCTGGTGTTGCGGGTTCATGGTCTACGAGTACAGAAGCGCAGGTTCCTTCGAGTAACGGTGGGCGTTCGTACGGCAACGTCCGAGAAGAGAATGGGGCATCTGAACAGAATAAAGATACTCTCGAGGCCGGAGAGGTTTCGGAGGAGCAACCGATGTCCAGCACCGAAAGCGCAGGCCTAGCGGGCGACAATAGCGTTGGAGGGCAAGGTCGTATGCAGAAGGTCGGAGACAGATGGGTCTTCGTCAAGGGATAGCGACATATTAGGCTACAATTCGTCCACGTCATACATGCTCTGTATCGTCTTGCAGTCTAGTCAGTTGATAACTACCGCTTCTCCGCTCGGGGTAATCGTAAGCTGCGTAATCGACGCGTGGGCGGCCTACCTGTTCGGAATTGAAGCTCGCCGCAGAGAAGGGGCTCGGCCAATACATAAAGTAACATATGCTCGAACATAGGGCACCGATCAGAGCGCCGACGATGATATCTTCTTTGTGGTGCCGCTAGAGAGCGAAGTCAGTATAAGACGATGCTACGAGTGGATCTACACTCACGTAATCTTCAAGGCGGGATATTGCAACCCAGGTAGAATACGCTAGTGGTAGCAGACACACAACGAATCTGCACATGCGTGTACGAACAAGTGTGCCACTCGGTGTCGGAATAGAGAAGCACCATGCAGCCGTCTGACCAGCTATCCAGAGCGCTAAGAATGTCATTCCCGCAAAAGCTGTAGAAGAATGACCCGACGGGAACGATTCTCGTCCGTCCCGTATGCTATCTGCTTTCCTGATAAACTGTGTCAGTCACCGACTATACCAGATGGCGTTGGACGGCAAACCCTGTGCAGGCTGCCAGGGCAGTGTCCCATCTACATCGACTCAGGAAGTCCGGTCGTAGTCGACCTGAATTCGTGGTGAGAAGCTTAAACAAAGGGTCAAGTCAATCGAGCCTTACCCACTCGATTTTTGAGACATTCCGTGACCAGATGGGTCAAAGACCTGCCGCACATTAGGAGCGGACGATGGAAGAGCTAACAGACGTACCTCCCAGTCCAAAGAGCGAGCGCGGCATGGTGTATCTCAATAGCCGATTTTTTGAATGTGCCCACGGCCGTGGTGATGATCAGGGGAACAAACAGTGCGATGAGGTTGTTGGTATATCCGCTAATCCTATGGGTCGAGATAGGTATACGATCCTTTGCCTGATGCCAGACGGAGAACGTAGCGACGCACTGCTGTGTCACATGCTTGTGGCTGATCGTACTATCATCTGGGCTGAAATCCCTCTGGAAGACAGGCAGACGGGAGACAAAGTCACCCAGAAACCAGAAAGAGGTGGCCACAGCCCTGTCGAAGGGTGAAATTCTCGTCAGATTTCAACTCGACACGCAGAAACTGTACCAGTCAATGGAGTAGGAGATATTCAACCAGTCTAAGGAATTATGGCCGAATATCTCCTTGATCTTGTCCTGAATCCGCGTGAGGAACATGGAGCTGGAAGCCTGGGAACTGGGCGGCAAGTCGCGGCATGTAAAACGCGTGGTGTCACGCCGTTACGGATCACACATCAAAAGACGCCTTCAGAGACGCGACCCGACGCGTCTATCCCGTCCGCCGTCATCTCTCACTATGGCGAAGGCGAAGGCCACCAGCCAGGCTGGCAAAGGCCAGAAGTCTATAGCGGACTACTTCGGCGGAGGAAATAAGAAAGGGAAGAAAACGAAGGTCTCCGATGACCACATGGACGTGGACACGTCGTCAGTCGCGGACGCAACGGCCGACGAAGAGGATGATCACGGTGAAGAGGAGAAAAGTGTAGGCGCAGACGAGGAATACGTGGACGATGGAGGCGCTTTAGAGGACGACGACGCGTTCGAGGAAGAGGCGGTGGACGAAGCGAGTGCTGATGAGGCCATGTCCGTGGACGAAGAAGTAGATGAGGACATGCACTCTGCTCGGAAAGCAACATCGACAGCTAAGTCGAAATCCGCACTGAAAGGTCTCGGAGCCTCCAGAGGCCAGGATACGACCGTCGCATCCGACTTACCTCCCATCAGCGATATTCGTGCCATGTTCTCCGACCTCGTGAGCCATATTCCGGACATACAAAAGGTTGCCAAGCGGATTCAAGGTCGGACGCTCCGAGTAGCCACCATGTGCTCTGGCACGGAGTCGCCATTGCTAGCGCTCGAGATGATATGTGAAGCTATACAGGAGCAGTACAGGGTCACTCTCAAGATTGAGCACGTCTTCTCGTGCGAAATCGAGCCTTTCAAGCAGGCCTATATCGAGAGAAATTTCCGTCCTCCTATCCTGTTCCGCGATGTCTGCGAGCTGAGCGAGGACTACGCGTACGTACCCGGCATTCGTATATGATAGATGTTTATTGACGTCTCCTGTATAGGACAACGGCTTACGGAGCTACTGTAGAAGTCCCAGGGGATGTCGACATGCTCGTTGCAGGAACGTCTTGCGTGGACTATTCCAACCTCAACACAAAGAAGCAGGACATCGACGCTAACGGAGAGTCCGGAAGGACATTCCGTGGAATGATGTCCTGGGTCCGGAAGCATCGCCCGCCTATCGTCATTCTCGAAAACGTTTGCAGTGCACCTTGGGATAAAGTCGTGAAATATTTCGAGGAGCACAAGTATAGCGCGACGTCGTTAAGGCTCGATACGAAGTCATATTATATTCCCCATACCCGCACACGTGGGTATCTCTTGGCCGTGGACCAGAAGAAATCTAGTCTACCCCGCGAATGGCTTGACTGGCTTAAACGGCTGAAAAGAGCTGCGTCTTCGACGCTGGACGAGTTCTTGCTTCCCTCGGACGATCCTCGCATCCAGCAGTCCCGAGAGAAACTGGTCCGTGAGGGCTCCAATGCGCTGGACAGACGGTCTGGCCGTACAGACTGGGGCCGTTGCGAGTCGCGTCATCAGAGGACGCGCTTGGAAGAACAACTGGGTTCGAAGCGCCCTCACACCAACTGGGACGAGAATGGCTTGTGCAAAATGCCAGACTTTACTTGGGGGCCCGACTGGGGTATAGTTCAGGTCGAACGAGTCTGGGATCTAATGGACATTACGGTCCTGAAGAAAGCGAAAGACTATGTTGATCCCAATTACAAAACGTAAGTCCATCCGCAAGGTGATTTTAGACCCGCATCTGACCCGTTGAACGACAGGCAAGTGTGGAACTTGTCACAAAACGTGGATCGCAATGTAGGAGAGGGCAAGGAAGGCATCTGCCCATGCCTTACGCCGTCCATGATTCCCTACATCTCCAATCGTGGTGGACCTATGGTGGGCCTTGAAGCCCTGTGTATGCAAGGCCTACCCATCGACAAACTACTCCTGACAAAAGAAACGGAGGATCAGTTGGCCGATCTTGCGGGCAATGCCATGTCTACTACCGTTGTCGGCGCCTGCATGCTGGCTGCGCTGGTCGTCAGCGTAAAGTTACTGAAGCCCGGAGACGACACGGAAACCTACGAGTCCAAGGGCAAAACCGGTGCCGAAGGCCGGAGCACGGGCACTATGAATGTCGACGAGCCCGAGGAAGCGGAGCTCCCTATTGAGGAGCATGTCGTGGGCGAGGAACGCTTGACGGAACGCCCGCTAGATCTGTCGGCTATGAATCAAGGCTCCCTCTCTGAGATTCTTGCTGCTGCCCAGCGAAGCGTCCGGTTGTGCATCTGCGAGGGGCGTACTGCTATGACGGAGCGCCGCCTGAATCGCTGCGTTGATTGCAGTTATACCTCTTGCGAGAAGTGTGGCGGTCGGCCGGAGCATAATTACCAACTTATAGCTTTTGACACACCCAGGGTCGCCCCTGGCGTTTTCGCAAGGGAGCTGAAAGCCACGCTTCCTATGTCGCTCTCTGTTGCCAACGTGACACAGGAGACGTTGGTGGCAATCAAGGAGGCAGCAGGAGTGTCAGTACCCGAAAGGCACTGGCCTAGCTGGTGTTCTGCTGTCCTTCGTGCTGTCGCCAACGAGCTGCACTTTGTTGAGCCTAAGCGGCAGGAGATCTGGACAGCGGTTTACCAGTCTCCCTCGGCGACTCTGGAGCTCTCACTCCATCCTTTGCGTCCAGAATGGCGGCTCTATGCCAAGCCGGAGGCGAAAGAGCCTGCTAGTTCGAAATTGCGCAAGATCCTTGAGACACCGGTAGCAAGGTTCGTCTGCAAGGACAGTCTATTCGATGGTGTTTGGGAGATTGGAGTCCCTTCTACTACATCCGTGAAGATAACTATCGAGGGAAGCGGAGAGCTCGTTCCATCCTGGGAGGCTCGCTTAGGCTTACAAAGTCCTGAGTTCCGAGACCGTCAGGTTTACTCTCGCATCAAGGTTACCGTACCGGAGAATGATGTCGACAAGTTTGATAGGGATATCAGCGGCGAGTATGAACTTCTTGACCGTTGCGGGACGGCATGCTGCGGACTTCACAAGCAAGTCTCCGAACTATCTGGGTTACCGCCTCTATTTTTGCTGTTCGATCCTGCACGAGTCGGTCCCCCTGACGAAGACTGCTTCGCATTCTCTATCAGTACAAAGCGATACGAGTTCGGCGAAGCAAGACCTATCATATGTAGGCTGTCTCCAGAGTGGCGACAGCATAAGGTCATCAAGGAAGGTACACCCGTTAAGTGCGATATACCCACAAAATGGGTCGAGGCTGAGGATATAGCCTTTAAGGTGATTTCAGCTTCTTGCACGTATATTTTTCAGTTGTTGACGTCCGCCATAGTTTGAAACAGGTCACCAAGCAACTTTCGCGTCGGTCGAGGGTGACGTCGCGATCACAGCAGACTGTGACGCCTGCCGTAGTGCCGACGCCCTCCTGGTATGCCGTGTTGCTCTGGATGGGAATGCAGGACCTGAATGGCCTCGGGATCACTGGGTCGAGGTCGACAAGATCAATGAACGCTTGACGTTCAGATCGTTGGCCTGGATCATCGAGAGAATCCGGAGCACCCAAGACAAGCTCAAGGAATGGCAAGATGTAGATTTCGTGGAGTACTCTACGGACTGTCAGCGTTGCGCCCCGACCGCCCCGAATGTCCGCTGGATGAGAGTGAACAAGAAAATACTTCCAATTGAAGATACCGTTCAAGCCGGGGAATACGAGCGTCGCCTCAAGAGGCGTCCAGCCCCCTTTGTCACCCAGCTCAAACTTGGGTCTGACGGAGTTGGAACCATCCGGATCGGAGTGAACATCGCTTCACTACTTCATAGGGCTATGTCACGGCTTCCCAAAGCCGGCCGAGCTGAGAAGCACGCACTTTCATGGCACCTTGACACCGACTTTGCGCCTGCGGCTAAGTTGAACTTCCCTAAGTTCAAGCTCCTCAGTAATCGCAATGACCCTACTCATGCCCAACCGCCGAACTTCAAGCTGGATCTGAGACCCGAGCAGCTCCGGTCACTTGGGTGGATGCTGCGTCAAGAATCTCGGGATGCTCCTCCGTTTATCGAGGAAGAGATAGCTGAGGCAATCCTCGAACCTTTAGGCTGGAGAGCTGAGGGTCGTGCACGAAGGCCTGTCCGAGTCTCGGGAGGTGTCCTCGCTGACGAAGTTGGCTATGGGAAAACTGCGATTACCCTGGGTCTCATCGACTGGACCCTGAAAGACATACACAGACAGTACCAGAAAGCGAACGATATGCCAGGAAAGATTCGAAGTCGAGCCACTCTCGTTGTGGTACCTCCACATCTCACGAGACAGTGGGCTTCTGAGGCAAAGAAGTTTGTGGGTACAAAACTGAAGGTGGTTTCCGTGGAGACAGCGGCGAAGATCAACGCCTTGACCGTTGAGGCGGTCTGCGAAGCTGATATCCTCGTAGTGGCGTCTAACCTCTTCCACAGCTCTGTCTACCTTGATAATCTCGAGGCATTCGCAGCAGGAGGTACATTGCCTTCCAGTGATGGACGCTACTTCAAGACGAGGTTGCAGTCTGTTTTGATGTCTCTGCGAAAACAGGTGGATTTGCTGAAGGAGGGTGACTCGAAGAAAGTAATGCAACGCATACATGAAGGGAGGAAAATAGGTACGTTGCCCCTCCCGTTTCCTCAGTGCCATACATGAAACCCTGGCGTAGATGAGGAAGCCGATGCCCTCATTCCAACCAAAAGGCTGAAAGGCAAAGCGTACAGGGAAGCTGCAGAGAAGACCACGCAAGCTGGGACTGCCGCGCCCTCCCCTGGTTCTCCGGCCCTTGCTACACCTAAAGGCCTCGTACCAGAGGTTGTCATCACCAGCAGGCGGAGCAGCTGCTCATCCGTGACCAAGTCATCGAATGTTGATGAGTCTTCAGGCGCCGAGCAGTGTACTACTGCCCGTCCCAGGAAAACCTCAAAGAAGACAATAGTTATTTCAGACGATGACGACGATGCAGCGATCACGACAAAAGCGAAGACCACCAAAAAAGCTACCGGTACGAAACGCCGCAGACAGGTCGATAGCGACCAAGAAGACTACGTTATGGAGACTTCGTCATCGAAGTCCCAGGCCAGCTCTAGCGATGCTGATATGGATGTCGACGAAATCTCTGACTCCAAGCCGAAGGGGAAAGGCAAGCCATCCGCCAAGAAACGCAGGACGGTAGCAGCGCCAGCGAAAAAGCGGCGAGAGGACACCGACCCGTGGAAGCTGCTCACCTCTGCAGTGAGAAACGACTGGACGCAGATGAGAGCGCCGCCCCTGGAGATGTTCCACTTTGCCCGGGTGGTCGTAGACGAGTATACTTACCTAGAGGGCAAAGACCATGCTCTCATCACTAATCTGACGACCGACAGACGCTGGGTTCTATCTGGTACCCCGCCTCTCGCAGACTTCGCGTCGTTGAAAACAATTGCCGCCTTCCTGAATTTGCATCTTGGGGTTGACGACGAGGATGAATTCCAGGATAAGGAAAAGAAGAGGAGGAAGAAAGATCAAACGAGTAAGCTCAGACCCGTCCTTACATGTAACCGTTACTCAATTCCTTGGGTGCAGCCGCGGAACAGTTCCACTCTTTCCGCGAAGTTCACAGCTTGGAATGGCATGCTCATCGACATGATCTTGGGCAAGGTTTCCTCAATCAGTTTGTCCGACAGGTACACATTATTATCCATTGGAAATCCTCGTAATACTCACTCCGATTTCAGAATATTGCCGAAATCGACGAGATTCCTTGGACAGAAAAGGTTGTGAAAGTCGAACTGCCCGCGGCTGAACGAGCGATCTATCTTGAGTTGGAGCACCATCTCCGTGCCCTTGACATGACCATCAAGCGGGGCAGGAAGACCGAGAGTGATCGTGAAAAGAGGCTGACTCAGGCGCTCGGTGAAAGCCAGTACGCACCAGCTGTCTAACAAGCATCGATCGGTTTCTGACGTGCATGATTCCTAGGTCTGCGGAGGAAGCCCTTTTAAAGCGGTGCTCGCACTTCGAACTGGAAGATAATGACGAGGAGAACGCGATGACGGCATGTGAGACGATTGTACAGCGTCGTCATAAGGAACTCGAAGCCTGCAAAGCGGACCTCCTGAAGCACTTGCAGGAGGCTGTCGCGATGGAGCGCAAGATCGGGCGCACGTCCGAGGAGTCGATGTTCCAGGAGTTCGTCCGCGTGTCACGGTCCGAGGGCGTCGGCGACGCGGAGGCCAGCCAGGTTGTGCTGGACCTGCTCGACGAGGCCGGCGTGGCGGCGCCGCTGAAGACGGTCACGAACAAGCCACACGACCCCCGCGCGGGCGGGTCGTCGAAGGGCAAGAGCAAAGCGGACGAGGCGCTCGACGACCTTAAGTGGAAGCACCGCGAGCAGACGCACGTCATCCGCCGGCTGGCAAAGGAGCTTGTCGGGCGTGTGCGCTCGCTCAGGTACTTCACGGTCGTGCGCGACCTGCAGAAGCAGCGGGAGGTGCCGCCGGAGATATCGTGCCCCGCGTGCGGGAAGGAGGGGCTGTCGCCGGATGAGATCGCGGTGCTCAGCTCGTGCGGCCATACCGGGTGCTATGAGTGTGTCAAGGAACATGCGGGGCTGGAAGAGTGCGTGGCGGCGCAGAATGGAGGATGCAAGTCTGCTGCGAGGGTCATTAACGTTGTCAGAGGGAACACTCTCGGCGTGGACGACGTGGAGAGGGAAGGGAGGGGCAAGCACTACGGGATGAAGTTGGAGAAGGTCATCGATCTGATCAAGTAAGCATTTCACTCAGATCTACACCGGCAGATACTGATGAAATGGCGTAGGGAACATATCCCGAAGGATGAACGCGTCCTCATCTTTGTGCAGTTCCAAGACCTCACCAAGAAAGTGGCTGAGGCACTCGAAGCGCACCACGTGCCGTTCCTCGAGATCAAGGGCTCCGCGTCGAGCAAGTCGAAGGCGCTCGAGAAGTTCCAAAACGATTCGGAGGAGCGCGTGCTGCTGCTGAACGTGACGGACGAGAGCGCGAGCGGGGCGAACCTGACGGGCGCGAACCACGCTATCTTCCTGAGCCCGCTGCTCGGGCCGTCGCAGGACTGGTACACGTCGCGGGAGACGCAGGCGATTGGGCGCATAAGGAGGTATGGCCAGCAGAACCATGTCAATGTGTGGCGATTCTTGTCGACGAACACGATTGACGAGGAGATCTACGAGCAGAGGACGGGGAAGAAGGTGTAGAGATGTGGGTTCTTGGTTTGTGTTGTGCTCCTGCTGTCGATGCTGTGAATGGCTGTAAGCCGTAGCGTACCACATTTGTATAGTTAGCTGCTGTCATCTAATAGGGTTGGATATAGTACGGGATTAATACACTAGATTGTACATTCCTCCTTGCCATCAAGTGAGAACCAAACACTATTGTTACTTCAGTCGAGGGGGAAACGCTGTCATAAAGGATAGAGGGAATGTTTATTGCATTATTATAAATAACACGAGAGCACATACACAGCATTACGATACAGTCTCCCCAAAGGTTCATGATATACAATATATGCTAGAAAGTAAAAGCATCCGCCCGAAGTCTACACGTCGACCCGGAGTTCTATTTGCTCGACATGACATAGCCGGACGTGTCCAGGATCTGTTTGCCGCATATCGAGCAAATACCTTTCTTGTAAGCACATCCTGGGTAAGAGTCGCACCACATAAGCCACCCGGACAGCTTGGGAGTCAAGATGGAGGTAAGACGTACCGTGACAGTACTTTGCCCCGTTCTGCGTCGTCGTCTGCTTGCAGTCTTTGCATTTGTTCTGGTATGGCTGTCGGCGGCGATGTTTAGTAAAAACACCGCAGAAGGGAGACAAGGTTACGCACTGAATACCGATTCTTGGACGACGACCCGCCAGCTCGAGGTTTCCCAAGCACGTTGTGTCCGCCCACCTTCCGCGACCCCTCTTTGATGCTGGACGAGGAGGACTGGAAGGGATCCGGCGCTGCGACTTTAGAAAGTTTCTGCAGAGGAGGCAACAATTCGTACGGTGGCACCGGGACTATGACTGGCTGGACGCACCTTCTCACACTTCTTGCAGACCATGGCGGTGTGAAAGATCGCTGCTTCCTTGGTGGCGGACCAGGATATAAGTCGCACAGCCACAGCTATAGTGATAGCGTCCGGAAGGTTAGGGTTACCCCTGCAATCTCATCCTGCCGACGAATAGAGGGCTCTGAAGTCTGAACGCGCCTCCACTTTCAGCGCTGTCGCTGTGGGTAGTTGCCTTACTGATCCTACGAATGCTCATATATCAGGCGGGACAATATTCAGAGTCGGAACATGAATAAACCGCCACGTACAGGTTGTTTGTGGGGTGTTCGGCGTACGCCTAGCCTCAGAATTCGAGGACGGTGGTCTAACTACATTTTATTCAGAGTAGCTTACGGGCATGTATGGTCAGCCACCAGCGGCCGCGCCACATCACCGACCGATGCACGAATCAGCCAACGGTGCGCAGGTCTCCGCCAAAAGGTCTCCATCTATCGTATCATTGCCCCGTCAATAGAAATCGCACCATCAAGTTGAACTGGTATATATGTCCACTTGATCCTTTCCGTCAGGTTTATCACTGTACTCGCATTCATCATGACTTGTCCCATTGTCGACATCGTCGTCGAAGAGCTCCAGGCCCGCCCAAGGCCCAAGGATGTCGGTATGCTTGCCATGGAGATGCATTTCCTCAGGAGAGTAAGTCTACTCTCGTTCTCCCCACTACTCAGGCTGATTTGTCCGGCAGTGCATCTCAGAGGAAGAGCTCGAGGTATTCGACGGTGTATCAAAGGGAAAGTATACCATCGCCCTGGGCCTGCAGTACATGGCCTTCGCAGACGACCGCGAGGATATCAATCCCTCTGCACTGACTGCGCCCATCGTCTTTGAATGTTGGTACCATCCGTTTATTATGGAGGATATTTTCCTACTAACTCTATCCGCTGACGTGACACGTTTAGCCATTCATGGGACCTACATGACCGATACCTACGACTTCTATAAGCCCAGGCTTGACTTTGAATACCCCGAAGTGGACGGTCCTTTATCAGTGACGTCCTACCTGACTGCCCTCGATATGTCCTACTCCAGCTTTGGCGAGAAGACTGGCCCGGGGCGGGCCGTAACACACGACGACCCAGATTCCACCTTTAGCTTGGATGACACCGCCTATCACGTATTCCATTGCCCGTACGGCAAAATCGTGCAGAAGGGCCACGCGCGCCTTCTGTACAATGACTTGGTCGCCGACCCCTCCGCCCCCAAGTCCATAGACCAGTCCATACTCAACCCCCCCCCTCCGCCTCGCTCACAGACGAAAGCGTCGAAAACATGTTCGGGGCCTTCTCTAAGGATGAGTGCGCGTCTCGAGTTGTACTGTCGATGTACTGCGCGAAGCGCTGCGGGAACATGTACACCGCGTTGCGGTACGGCGGGCTCGCTTCTCTGATTTCTGCCGGCGGGCCTGCGGATCTCCGGAGCAAGCGGGTGAGCATGTTCGCGTGCGGCCGTGGGGCCGCGTCGTCGTCCTTCACGCTCCACGTTAAGGGCGATACGACCCAGATGCGGGATAGGATAGACCTACAGCGGGTGTGCAGGTTGTGCCGTGCCAGGAATAAATTGACTCGCTCCAGGTGCGTTTATGCGATTGTGACACTAGAATATCTGACGCACTGTGAATGTCTCCAACTGCGAGAGGTGAACTGTGGACGGTCCGCTTACGAGCCCGGGGGTCCGTCGATGGAAAGTGGCCCCGTGCCTTCTATCTAGAGGGAGTCGACGCGAAATATAGGCGCAAGTACGCCCGAAGACCACTTGCTTTGGCTCGTAGTACGGCTATATCTGTTCTCCTTCGTGTCGCTTTGCCCGTGCCGCTAGTCGCACTGTTGATGTTATCTGTTTACAGCGCTGTCGTGGCCCTCAACGAGTCTTCCGTGGTCACTGGCCACCGTAAAATATCGGGTGCAAGCCGCCACGTAATCGCAAATGTTAAGTTACCCATGGCCAACTTGACGGCGATAGCTCGCGTTCAAGTTCTTTGGTTGACGCTCTTAATCCAACCCGGCTATCCCGTGCGCATTCCCGTGAAATTCAACTGCTTCAGTAGTTCACAGCGACTGGATTTACTGACAGCATTTAGCACTGCGAGAAAGAGCTTATGATCATTGACAGTTGTCAATGAAGCGCTGATGTTTTCCTTGGAGAGAAACATTTCCCACCTGCCTATCATAGCATCAGTCGTGCGTACCTATCCTACAGTACCTTCGAGCGTAAGGAGGGACCGGCGGTTACAAAGTAGTGCACTATAGAACCGTCTCTGCTGCGGGAGAATTTGCTTTTCCTGATGCTTAATAACCGACGCGTCTGTGGCGTCCGGCACAGGCCAAACAAAGCCAAACAACGCGAGCTCCAAGCCTCAGCCAGGATGCCTACTGAGCTCTTGCATCCTTGCGGCCATCACTCAGGCCGGACGACTGCAGCGAAGTATTAACTGTCTACTAATGTGATGCCTCTTCCCACTGAAGCGCGATGCTGTATATGAGGGTTTGTTCCCGGGGGGATTCAGATGAAGCGATTCGTTCCTTCATTTCAATCTCGACTGCTGGACGCCGAGGCTGCCAGCCTCCAGACAGCTCGACGTCACTGGTAGCTTCGAGCGGCTGGCACGCTACACGAATACCCCGGCCAGCCGCCCGGAAACCAACATAAAAGGCGAGCGAGTCCCTCTATCTCTCTCATCATCGAACCACCATGTCTTCGCTCTCCAGCACTCACACTGGCAGCCTCTTCGACGCGGTCCACCTCCTCTCGGGTGTTGACCTGCTGTCTCGCGTACTTCGCAGTATCTCTCCTGCTCTTCGACGGCTCTACTGCTTCCTGTTCGGCTATGCACTTGCTCCTTCGCTCGATGCGCCTCCTACGGTCTTCCTATTGGACGGCCCACGCGCATCAGTGTACTCGAACAGTGACGGATACTCCCCGGTCAAGGCCTTTGTTCCCGCCTGCATACTGGGGAGCATCATTCTGCTCGTCTTTGGTTTTACTATCGTCTATCGGTTCTCTCGCTCTAGGACGCCTCACTCTGAACTCTCCCCTGGTATTCAATTCTATTACGACACCATCTACGACACCATCGACAACCCTGGGGACGCCCGCTCTTCCTCCTGGGCTAGTGATGACGACGTATGTCCAGGCTGCATAGCTGATGTCACCTATCCTAATGTCCATGATTTACAGAACTATGAAGAACATCACCTCGACTTCATCAGCGGCATCGACGAGGATGCCAACTTCGAACAGCTCCCACCGGTGCCCTCCCTTGAATTCGTCAGCGTCGGCGCCGTGGAGGACCCCGACTACATTGACCCCATCTTCGCTGTGCTTCGCGAGTCCCGCAGGAAGCGAAGGGCGGCGCGGAGGATTGCTCGCCTCGAGGCCCAGCGGGAAGCCCTGCAGCGCGCCCTCGTCTTCGACATGGTGTGGGAGACTGCACGGGAGGCTCGAAGGAAGAAGGAGGCCAGGATCGCTTCGCCCGACAACCCTGAAGTGGTTCGCCATCGGAACCGCGTCTGGGAGCACGACAAGCAGCCCAAGCCTCCGGACCT